AAATTCTTACAGCTAATTGTCATTTATTAAAAAAGTGAAAAAGACCTGAGCTGCCTGAAGTGTGTTAGACCCTGTACACATGTAGACAGGCACCTCACAAAACCAAGATATTTTTCTACGTGAACATAAAGCCGGCCGCGCACGTGAGCAATCGACTGAATCCTTCGAGGGGGTAGTGGAAACAGTGGGCCTATCGTTTCATTTATGTTTCTGACACGCAGACAGGGGGCTGCATCTGAATACATCTTGGAATCATGTGAGCAGAGCACACACTTTGATTGGCCACTAGAATATTTCAGCTCAGCCAGCAGCTCATGTAGTGTGCACACGGCGAGTTTTTACCCCATGTGAGGCGGAAAATATCAAAGCGGTCAGATGTTCACTTCAGCGTCTCGTGAGGCGGAAAACTCAGTGAAAATTAGGCGCACACAGCGAGATATCTGCTGAGCAAACGGTCATTTGAGGCCGTTTGCTCTCGTGTGCGGCAGGCTTATGCGGCACACAAATAACAAACATGTGCAGACATCAGGCATGTAATTAAGACTCGTAATCACAAGATCAATTACTGCTCATGTAGAAGCCCACAGGCAAAGGACAGCGTTAAGGATGGTTATTGCCCGCCACCTCGATATTCCACGTCCACGGAATGTTTTCGGTCAAAGTTGCAAAGATTTCTGGAACTAATGCCACCTACAGGCTTGGCATGACTATGAACGTGCTTCACAATGCACTAGATTTTATTTATTACTTTTTTTTTCTGAAAACGGGGTGGTGTGGACCCAAGCCTTCTTCCTAGATGGGCGGGGGAGGACATTTGGATTTTACACAAACCCGGCTACACGTGTAGATGACCTTAGAGCAACCAGTTTAAAGCAGCACAGTATTCGGGCAGCCATGATGGATCTACAAAGTCAAGCATTTGATTCAATTTTATTAGAATTACGCTGGAAAGATACAGGTTTGAACATTTATGTTCAAGACAACAATTTTTATTTTCTTTATTATGACCAGTGTAGTTCTCTTAAAACACATTTTCTTAATCTGTTTACCTTTAACACAATTTTATGTGTACAGATACAAAAATTAGGAGAAATAAAACAAAGGCTAAATCCTACAACTGAAGTGCTGATTAGAGCTTAGTGGGCAGGAGGGATGTTGGGCTTGAGAAGAGCAAGGCAACACGTTACTCCACCATTTCCTTGCTTTTATGTAGCCCTCAAGTCTGAAAACAGTGATAGAAGCACTACTTAGTAGTCAGGAATCTAAGCACCCGGTGTGAAATAAAGACCCTGCACTGACCACATAAATGCCTGTCGTTTAACTCAGATCTATTAAAGCCATCTATAACTTTTGGCAAAAAAAAAGAAAGGGGAAAAAAAGCCTATTTCTATAAATGTAAAGTTTTTTGCTACCAATACTTGGTAGCACTTCAAGTTTAAAAAAGAGAAGAAGAAGCAGATGCTGAAGCAAAAAAGGTTTAAAATCATCCTTAACACATGACTGCATTTTTTTTTATAAATCTATAAACTCATTCAGTTTATGAAACAAGCACCTTTGGTTCGATTGTTTAGTACTAAGATGCACAAAACCACAAAGGAATATTTAGTTTAATGCATCACATGCATCACAATCAGCAGTTGGATGTTTTCGAACAGAAAATTTTTAATTTTTTTTACATAGCAGCCTATAAATCTGATCGGAATTAGCTGCACCAGGTGTCAAACGATGACGGTCTCATTTGAAAATAAAAGATTGTCACCAGGAGCAGAAATCCTGATAAACATTCACCTGTTTCGTGGTTTAAAACCTCCCTGATCTGGTTTTTATGGACTGGTCTCCCTATAATGAAAGGTGATGATGAGTCAGGTACGGAGGTGGGATGGAACAAAACTGAAGAGGGAGTCAGGGGCACTTTTTGAAGTCTGACCACACTGTCAGCCACTTCACAACAGTGTGTGTGTGTGTGTGTTTTACCTAATTTTAAGATGGACGCATATGCACTAGAAGGGCCAACCAAGGGCTCTTAAGTTCTTGTTTTTCTTCTCTTTCCATCTCCCTCAGTCACCTAAACACTCAAGGTTTCCTACAAACTGGAGATGTGAAAAGCAGCGCTGCATCATCTGAACAAATTCGTTTTTTTTCTCTCTCACTTCCATGAAACTAAAGAATGAGATGTTGCTGCTTCTTTCAAACCTGACAAAAGCAAAACTGCCACTAGGACTTTCCATGGAGAAAGCACTCTGATCGCTCCTCCACCGCGGTTCGGGTTATTCTGCGCCTCCTGGGGAGTGCGAGCTCTGCCTCAGAGTCTGAAGGTGGTGCTAAAAAAAAAAAGGAAAAAAATACTGTGCAGCCGGTCGCACAGGAAACTGAAGAGGCAGACAACCTCACATCCTGCCTGAGCTTTGGAAGAAACACTTCCTCCTTTAAAACAAAAAAACAGCAAGTGCACACATAAGGCTGCGATGACGGAAGATCAAAGTAAATGCAAACATGGAATTTTTGTGATGAAACAATGATCTATTACATTCATAAGCATTTCGAGTGTCATAAAAAAATCTATTAAAGTTGCCTGAGGCTGATTTGCATCCCAGATATGATTGAAAGGCTCCCACACACCGGTGATGGCTATGTGGGCCAGGCATCTTTCATTCATAATGTCCGTTTGGTGCTACTCATGTAGTAAATACATCAAGGCAGTGTTGCAAATGATTTTCACAGGAAAGCTATCTAGAAACCCTCGTACGATTAGTAAAAAAGATCTAAAACCTGAAGGATGAGGCTGATTCTGCCTTCAAACTTCATATCTGCAGTGAAACACATTAAACAAACAGCAGTTTTTTTTTCCTCCTGCACGATGGAAACACTTTAACAGAAACAATCCACCCACCAACCAACTAACAAATGTTTCCCGTACAGTCTGTTTGTCTCGGGACATTACGCGTTTACAAAATGATCACATTCCAGCACAGAAGTGCAGAGGAGCTCGGCAGGCTTCCACTCAGCGGTCTCCATTTGTCAGTCTCACCTGTGTGTCTAGCCATGTCGGAGGCAGCTCCCCCTCACACACACACAATTACCATCAGGGCTTCTTGGCTGCAGTTTTGGCTTTCCCGTTGGGTCCTGTTTTGATTTGGGTCATCTCCACATCTGTCAGGGCATCAGGGGGAAGGCACGAGCGCATGCGTTCTATGGTCCTCTGGTAAGATGCCCTCTCTTGCTCCAGGGAGCGAATCATGTGCTTCATTTTGCTCTCCCGGGAGAGGAAGGTCTCTACGCTCATCTCCAGTGACTGGATCTTCTGCCGTGCGGCCTGGAGGAGGAAGACGTTACACTTCAGTCAACAAAGAAGCCAAACAAGGACTAACACTGGACCAGGAGGGAAAACAGAAAGTTTCACTAAAACTTCAGAATACAAAACATCATCTACCAAACATTTTATTATATTGAATCCAGAATAAATTTTCTATAAATTATAATCCCCAAAAGTGGAAGTTGTATAAGTTTCCTCCATCAGATAAATAAGGAGTTCTCCTGGTATGAAGCACACCATGTCCTCGTTTACAGGTCCGCACAGAAAACATTCAGCTCTTTTGTCCCTTTACACATTTTTCTTATATACAACTTGTGTTTTAGTGCCATCTATAGGCAGCCTGAGACACACATTAGTAGGAACTAGTTTCCTCTGGATTCCAGAAATAGGTATTGCTTTAACAAAATTATACTTATTCTTATAAACAGATACAAAAATAATTAAAATGTGACTCGGCTCTTTCTGTTCCTTACCTGAAGTTTTTCCAGCAGCTCCATGTTCTGTTTCTTCAACTGTACGTTTGTTTTTTCTAATCTGTCGAGACGGTCAGAGTCGTCGGGTGGTGGTCCAGATTCCAGCATCTCATCCTGCAGGACGTGGTACTCCACCTCGTACGCATGCAGCTGCTTGGAGATGTCCATCTCCATCACCTGGAAAATAATATTTGTGACACAGTGTGTTTAATTAGATCTAACCCTGTTCCTGCCTGCTTCCAAGGTGCCATGCTTGCACAAATGGGAATTTCCTCTGGATGCATCCATTTAAGGGTAAAATGTTAAAGTAACACTAAATAGATTTTTAAACTTTAAGCTAGATCTTTAACATTGATGTCAGTGATTGTTGGGTTAGAAACGTGACCAGTTTCATATTTGACACCACTCTGCAGCCCTTTGCTGACTAGATACTGCACGTAACAGTTTTGTGGAGCGGGTAGATGTTTTCGGGGGCGTTCTTATACCTGCATTACGGCTGTTAGCTATTTTCTGTGCAGTTAGCTTTTTCGGTTTGCTGATCATCAATAAAAAGTACAAAAAGAATAAAAAGAAGTTTGTTTGTCTGCCTGCTAGGGCTGCACAATATATCGCTAATGTATCGTTATCGCGATATCAGCATGCACAATATGCATACTGCATTGAACTGATAAATATCGCAATAAATGGTCAGCTCAAATGTTTGCTACACGTAATGCATTCTGTCAATCAAACGGAAGCATGATGTTTTTTTTAACAAATCAAATAGAGCTCTTCACCCATTTGCCCAATTGAGTGATAGGTTAGATGCCCGCCCTCGAGGCGGACGGCACTTAGTTTTGATGGTTAGCAAACACCTGAGTTAGCTTTGTTCTGCTCTTTGTGCTGATTTTGCTTTTCCCAGGATCCACTGATTACCTTTTCTTGTTCATTTTCTTTTTTCCTTTCCCAACATGTTTTGCTTTTCTCATTTTTATGATTTTTTTGTAAATTTCTTAGTTCTTTGTTTTTGATTATTTTTGTTCCTGAGTTAAGTTTTGATTTATCGCAAGTAACATCGTCATCGCATTATTAATCACTGTTATAGCATATTGTGGGTTTTCCTAATATCGTGCAGCCCTACTGCCTGCATTATGGCAGAGCCTGGGAGTAAAAGTAAGAGAGTCACGTCTTTGGAGGTGAAGCAAAGAAACCCGGAGTAAACACTGGAGTGGCCTACACTAGTTTGAGGAACCTGAAAAAGGCTATGAAATCACGGGCTGATTGTGATCTGGCTTTGTTGCTCCTGGACTTGTAAGTAATAATATTTGTTCAACATTGTGGATCTTTTTAATTTCTGGCTTATTTAGTAAGACTTGACTCATGTTAGTTTTAGCTCATTGGTAGCACTAGCTACAGCAGACTGCTGCAGGGTTTTTTACGGTAGTTGTAATTCCTCTTTTAGCCAGTAGCGAGGAGAGGCAGAAAACTGCTCTGTGTTTCTTTAAGAAGAAAAATATATCATTTCTATAGCGCCTCTCAAGATAAAAATCACGAGGCGCTTCACAAAAACAAAAAATGTAAAAATATAAAAATAATTTAGAAAATGGTTAAAATATATTAAAAATGAGCAAAAAATAGGCAATTGTGATAAAAAAAATGTTAGGGGAGAGAGTGAACAGGAAAGAGGGAAATCAGTGGATCCTGAGGAAGGTGGAATAGGTGGGGAGAGCAGAATAAAGAGAGAGTGGTGAAGAAGGTCATACAAAAGCCAGCTTGAACAAATGAGTTTTCAGCTGCTTTTTAAAGGAGACCACTGAGTCCACTGTTCTATTTCGTCTAGTCTTAGCCCTTAAGCTAGCTGCTATTGGAAGGATGATCTCCGCATCAGCCAATCATGAAGAGCTTAAATGTACGCCCACCAATAGTGGGCCCCCTCGTGGTATATAACCGCAGTGACCCCACTGCTCACCTCCTTTTTCTCTTCATGCCAAGCTTGAGAGCTTTATTAAAGAGCAAATATTATCTCAAAAGAGCAAATTATCCGAAGACGACTTACCAGCCATGTCCAGCGACACCAGACCCTGCCCGACCTGCCAGACGGGCTCCATTTCCAGCGGCGACCTGCACGCTAAGTGTGAGGTCTGTCTCGGGGCTCACCACGCTGGCCTGGCCTTGACCCTGCAGGCCTCGTGCCCGTTCTGTGCCGCTCTGCCCGTGGCGGAGAAGATTCGCCGGGTCGAGTACTTCACTCCCGCCGCCGACGAAGAATTTCCGGTGGCTGACTCCTACCCGCTGGACAAGGCTTTGGTTTTCTTCGACGCCGGTCAGGAGCCGGCTGGCTTCAACCGGCTGGATGACGTCACTGACAGCGAAAACTACGATGAGGCGGCGTCCCTCCTAGACATAACGGAGGTCGACGAGCTTCGCTCAGCGGGTCCTTCTGCCCCAGTGGCTTCTCGCTCCTCCCTGCCAGCAGTAAGAGCACTGCTCCAGGAGCTGCCCGCCATCATTTCTGCGTCAGTAGCCCGCAAGGGGCTAGCTGTGCCAGAACCGGCCCTGCCTGAAGCGGATGATTTGGCGGGAATTTTCGGGGCAACTCAGACACGCTGTCCAGACCCTGTCTGGCCGCGCTTCCCCGCTGCTATGAGCTGCTGGTCTGCCGCCTTCTCCGAGCCTGCCAAGCTCAAGGCGCCAGTCTCCACATATGCGCCCATCACCAAGGTCGAGGGGTTTTCCGACCAAGGCTGGCCGTCCGTTCCTCCACTAGAGCCGGATTTGGCCTCGCTGTTCGGCGCCAAGAACCACCTCGCTGGCCCGCGAGCTGTTCCCGCTTCAAAACATGACCAGCTGCTGACGCGGCTCACCGACCGCGCACATCAGTGTGCCTTTCAGACCGGCGCTGCAGGGAATAACATCGCCCTTCTTGCCTTCGGCGTCTCCAAGATGATGGAGGAGTTGGAAGCTCCCGAGGAGTCGAAAGCCGTCATAACTAAGACTGCTGATGCCATCCTCAATCTGTGTGCTGCTGTGCTCACCGGTTCTGCTCGCATCGCTGCCTGGCAGACCCTCATCCAGCGAGCGATCTGGCTGAAGGCCCTGCCCTCCATTCCGGAACATCTGCAAAGGGAGATGCTGGATGGCCCCATCACCACCGATGTTCTGTTTGGTCCCCATCTTAGGGGCGTCATTGAGAGGGCTCAGAAGACGGCCGAACTATCGGCTACGGTGCGAGACCTGGTCCACCCTCGGTCAGCCTCGCACTCCGGCCGTTCAGCCAGAGGATGGGACGAACGGCGCGGAAGCTTCAGACGTCCAGCTGCACCGCCCGCTCCACGAAGCCGGCCTCCCGCTTCGGCTCCACATCAGCGGGACCAGCGAGATGGCGGACAACGGTTCCGGCGGGGCCAGCAGACGCCGTCTTGGCAGTCCCAGGTGCAGGAGCCTCGCCGAAAGCAGCCACGGAAGTGACTCTTTGGGGAGAATGTGTGTGTTACTGATTGTTCTGATGTTGTTGGTTTTGAAATAAAACCCAAAAAACGTCACTCAAAGAGCTCAATCCTACAGTCCTCCGCAGAATCCTCTGCCGAGTTTTCACACATGTTCCCCACACCAAGCACTGCTTCACGCACACATGTTCCTGCAGGTAGTCATAATACACGGCCAGCCGTAAGGGTGCGCTCCATTTGCGCTCTGGCCCCAGCATCCGGCCAGGCCCAACTCGTCCCGCTCTCCCCACGCCGTTGGGTGGGGCGGGATGTCATGTCGCTGTCTCGACCACGCGCGGCGGCACAGTGCGCGGCTCCATCCGCTAGCACTCTGTCGCCCCCGTGCACAGGCCCGGCTCCCACTCGTCCTTCACTCTCGGACTCCACGCTCCGCGGTGTGGACCAGCCTGTTCCAGCTGTTTCGCACTTGCCCTTTCGAGCGCAGCCCTCCATGGGTCGCCCCCAGTTCTCTGGTACGGGCGACGGCGGTAAGGGCGCATGCACAACCCTCAGACGTTGTTCACGTGACCGCGCACACGCGTCCATTGTCGGAACGCGCGCACGAGTGGCGCCGCCTTTGCATCATGAGCAAATGGATTTCGGACACCATTCATTGCGGTCACACACTTCATTTTCAGGCCACTCCACCTCCCTTCAACGGGATCGTGGAGACGACGTTCACATCGCAAGTACAGTCTCAGGCGCTAGAGCTGGAGCTGCGGGAACTTCTGTCCAAAGACGCTATTTCCCGAGTCCCTCGCGGACAAGAACTCTCGGGTTTCTACTCCCGCTACTTCGTAGTACCGAAGAAGTCGGGAGGAATGAGGCCGATTCTCGACCTGTCCCTGTTCAACTGCTCCATAGCAGTAATGCATTTCCGCATGTTAACGATGAGACAAGTCCTGGAATATGTGCGCCCCGGGGATTGGTTCACGTCAATCGACCTGAAAGACGCATACTTCCACATACCAGTAGTTCCAAACCACCGGAAGTTTCTGCGTTTTTCGTTCAAGGGAGTTCAATATCAGTTCAATCGCCTCCCTTTCGGCTACTCGCTAGCCCCGCGCACTTTCTCCAAATGTCTGGAGACCGCGCTGCAGCCACTGCGCACGGAGGGAATGAGGGTCTTATTTTACCTGGACGATCTTCTCCTGTGCGCTCGGTCCGAGGACGAGGCGTCACAGCAAACCAGGAGGTTGACAGAGCATCTGTCAACCCTAGGGTTTTCTATAAACTGGGAAAAGAGCTCCATCCTTCCATCCCAGTCGATTGTGTATCTCGGGGTGGAGTTGGACGCCTCCCTAATGAGAGCACGTTTGTCGCCTGCAAGAGCGGCAGATCTCTCCACGGTGATCTCCCGTGTTCAACCCCGCAAGATCGTGAGAGCCCGGTTAGTCATGAAACTCCTGGGCATGATGTCCGCAGCCCATTCAGTAGTGCCGCTAGGTTTGCTGCGCACAAGGCGCTTGCAACGCTGGTTCGTCCGCCTCCGGGTACACCCAATACGTCAGAAGAGACGTATGTTGAGGATTCCCCCTTCAGTGGGCGGGGACCTCGCTCACTGGGGGAACCCCTGCATCCTCTCACGCGGGGTTCCCATCGGACGTCCTGCGTCACACGTATCTGTGTTTACGGATGCGTCACTGTCGGGGTGGGGGGGCACGTGCTTGTCCCACACGGTGGCAGATCGCTGGCCCTCCCACACGCACGAGCACATAAATGTGTTGGAGCTTATGACAGTGAGGAATGTGATCAGACACTTCGCTGCCCTTCTCGAGGGCCATCATGTCGAAGTTCACACAGACAACCGGGTAGCGGCAGCCTACATAAATCGCCAAGGGGGAGTTCGATCCCTCCCACTGTTGCGTGCCGCCACAGATTTACTGTGTTGGACACATGTCCACCTGCTGTCCATCAGAGCCATCTACATTCCGGGGGTACTGAATGTAGCGGCAGACATCCTGTCGAGAGGGGGACCCCGCGACTCCGACTGGCGTCTACATCCTGCACTGATATCACAGATCTGGATCAGGTTCGGGGAACTGTCTGTGGATCTGTTCGCGGCTCGCGAAAACGCTCAGTGTCGCCTGTGGTTTTCCCTGAGTCCCCGGGACGGACCCCCGCTCGGGGCGGACGCCTTCTCACACCAGCCCTGGCCTCAAACGCTCCTTTACGCGTTTCCACCAGTCCCTCTGATTCCCCGTCTCCTGGACCGAATTCGGTCGGAACAGCTCTCGGTGATTCTGGTGGCTCCCAGGCGCGTGTCCGCGTCATGGTTTCCGGACCTGCAAGCGCTAGTGTCCGGCTCCCCGTGGAGGGCGGACGCCCTTCTCCAGGCGGATGGGATAATCAAACATCCTCCGGAAATAGGCCAACGGCTGTGTGTCTGGCCGCTGAGCGGTCACGCTTAGAGGCTTCTGGGCTGCCGCATGATGTGGTGGCCACGATTCAGAGTGCGCGGGCGCCCTCTACCATTGCCTCTTACGCTGCTAAATGGGCAGCTTTCCAGAACTGGTGCGCAGAACGGAATGTTCAAGCGCTCTCCTGCCAGCTGGCGGATGTTCTATCGTTTTTGCAGATACTGATGGACAGGGGCCTCGCATTCAGCATTGTTAAGACATATGCTGCAGCTATCTCATCATGTCATCAGGGTTTTGGAGATAGATCTGTTTTCAATCATCCCCTCACAAAACGTTTTCTAAAAGGTGTCAGAAGGAACAGACCTGTGTCCCGCCCGCTTTTTCCCCAATGGGATCTAACGGTGGTTCTGCACGGCTTATCTGAAGCTCCATTTGAACCCTTGGACCAGGTCTCACTCAAGTTCCTGTCGCTTAAAACTGCATTGCTGCTGGCGCTAGCATCAGTTAAGAGAGTGAGTGACCTAACCGCCCTCTCAGTGGCTCCCGCATGCCTCAGGATCCGGGAGGATGGCGGGTCTGCTGTTTTATGCCCCAACCCAGCCTTTGTGCCCAAAAGCATTAATGCTTCCTTCAAATCCAGGTCAATTTCATTGGCTGGACTTTTTCCTCCTCCCCATAATTCTGAGGAGGAGGCGGCTTCTCACCTTCTCTGCCCGGTGCGCGCGCTTGCACGATATGTGTCACGCACTTCAGGGATTCGTCGCTCACAAAACCTGTTTGTGCACTACAGGGAGTCTTCCCTTGGTCAGGCGCTGTCGGCCCAGCGCCTTTCACGCTGGCTGTGTGACGCCATTTCCCTCGCTTACACATCATCAGGGCGGGATCCCCCTGAGGCACTCAGGGCTCACTCGGCCAGAGGAATTTCCTCTTCGATGGCGCTCCTCAGTGGTGTGTCAATGGAAGACATTTGTCAGGCTGCTTCATGGGCTTCACCCTGTTCCTTTACTCGTTATTATTTACGAGATGTGTCTTCAGGTTCCATCACTCGTTCAGTGCTTGGACCCCAGCAGGCTAAATGAATGCTTATGGCACCTCATTGGCCTTGCTGAGATGGATTTTATCCTCTTGTGGATGATGTTTTTTAGTGGGGGCCCCTCTCTTATCGTGCCTGCCTCAGTCTTTAGGCCTGGTCTGAGGCTGAACGTCCCCCACTAGAGGAGATTTGATTGGGTGTGTCCATTGGTTGTGTTAACCAGTGGGGCGTAAACCCATCCAGCTGCGCCTTATTCCAATAGCAGCTAGCTTAAGGGCTAAGACTAGACGAAATAGAACGTTGGTTACGTATTGTAACCCCAGATTCTATGAGTCTAGTCGCAGCCCTTAAGCCACTGGCCCCACTGGTTATGATGGGAATAAGAGCCATTGGAGGTGAGCAGTGGGGTCACTGCGGTTATATACCATGAGGGGGCCCACTATTGGTGGGCGTACATTTAAGCTCTTCATGATTGGCTGATGCGGAGATCATCCTTCCAATAGCAGCTAGCTTAAGGGCTGCGACTAGACTCATAGAATCTGGGGTTACAATACGTAACCAACGATCTCAGGCTCAGGGGGAGAGAGTTCCAGAGTCTGGGGGCCACAGCAGCAAATGATCTGTCACCTTTGGTCTTTAGCCTGGTGCTGCACAACCAGTAGGCTTTGATCACTGGACCTCAGGGACCTGCTGGGGGTGTAGGGACTAAGAAGATCACCAATGTAAGATGGTGCTTGTTCATGTAAGGCCCTATAGACCAGAACCAGGATCTTGAAATGAACCCTGAAGTTGACTGGCAGCCAATGAAGCTGGAGGAGAAGTGGAGTGATGTGGGTGTGTTTGGAGGACTTGGTCAGAAGCCGAGCACAGGCGTTCAGAACCACCTGTAGACGGTTCAGGGAGGTTTTACTCAGACACGTGAAAAGAGAGTTACAGTAGTCTAAACGTGAGGAGATGAAGGTGTGGATAACTGTCTCAAGTTCAGAGCGGGACAGAATGGGACTCAGCTTGGCAATGCTCCTGAGATGGAAGAAGGAAGAGCGAACAAGAGAACTGACATGAGAATCCAGGGTGAGAGCTGGGTCAAAGGTTACGCCAAGATTCCTGATGGAGGGTTTGGTGTGAGAGGCAAGCTGACCAAGAGAGTCTCTGACTTTGGGAACCAGCTTGTCTGGGGCACAGATGAGGATCTCAGTCTTCTCTTCATTCAGCTGTAGAAAGCTCCCAGCCATCCAGGTTTTGATAGAGTCTAAGCAGGTGTGTAACAGCTGCAGCTTAGACATCTCATGGGGCTTAAAGGAGAAGTACAGTTGGATGTCCTCTGCATAAAGATGGTAGGAGATTCCTTTGAAGGAGCTCAGGATGTGCTGAAGAGGAAGCAGATAGAGGAGGAAGAGTAGAGGCCCCAGCACAAAACCTTGTGGGACACCATGGGTAAGGGAGGTGGTGGAGGACCTAAACTTAAGACGGCTACAGAAAGGGAGCGCTCAGAAAGATAAGAGGAGAACCATTCCAGAGCAGTTCCTGATAGACCTACCCAGTCTCTCAGCCTCTCCAGTAGCAGGTGATGGTCAACAGTGTCAAAGGCTGCAGTCAGGTCCAGCAGGACCAGAACAGAACAGTCCCCTGCATCACTGTGAGCCAGAAGGTCATTAGAGACCCTAAGAAGAGCTGTTTCAGTAGAATGAGCTCTATGAAAACCTGACTGGAAGCAATCATAGATGTTATGTTCATCAAGAGCGGCTGTGAGTTGTTTAGCCACAAAGAGCAAACTAGTCACCCCATACCAGAGTATTACTCCACTCACACTTCCTGTTTAAAAAATGCAACAAATGCTGTTGCCTGGCAGACCGAGAAGGCGGAGCCACTAACAAATACACACACACAGGCTTACAACAACATTGTGACATCATATGGTACCAGCTAACGTCCTAGGGTACCTCTTAGCCAATAGCAATGGCAGATTTAAATTCAAATGCAGTGCAGTTTTTACCTGACAATGGCACTTCCCTTCCCTGACAGTTTTAGGCAGAAAATAAAATTTTTTTACAAAAATGCACTTAAGTGCTAAACTATTGACTACACGTGTCTGCAGCACGATTAGACACACATTTATATAGTTCATCAGAAGAAATAGATGATTTGGGGGTGACTTGCTCTTTAAGTTGCAATCTAGATTTTCGCTTTCCTTCAAAACAGTCCTATTGTTACCATTTTTGAGCAAACACATGGGGGCTTATCCGGGATCTAATCCTGGGACCAGTCACAATAATAAAATCTTGTTTTCTGCATTTTAGTATGTTTTGATGCACATGTAAACACTCCTACCTAGTCTGTGTAAAGGTACTTCTGTAGGAACCTGCTTCCAATGCAAAAAGAAAGTTACAGACTGTTGGTTTACTCATTAACTCTGCACACATCATCACACCTATTAACCTGCAGCAAATGTACCTTTGCAATAGTCTGCTCCATCTGTGCTTGTGTGAGAGTGGGAAGTGTTGTTTTCAAATAGTCCACAATACTCTCAAAGCCGTCACACTCCACTATCTCACCCTCATGACTGCTCAGCAGACAGAGAGCCACTTTAAAGATCACCTCAGTTCCCTGCACAAGCACGAAATCTGACAAAGGAAGAAAAAAAATTAGAAACATGCATTTAATTCATTCAGAGGAACAAACACATTTTGGTGAATATTCATACCAAAGATACGGGACACAAATCCGAGCGGGAACTGTGAGGCAAAGAGAGTGAGGAACCATGGCGCGGCGTAAAGGCTCGGGCAGATCTCGTGCTCTTCAAAGTGAGTGTATAAGTCACGGTGGTAGTCGTGCAGCAGCCTGGAGAGTTGGTACATCTGAATCTGGGACATTAAAGACAGATAACAAAAACTCAGGCTGAAACATGCCGAGCCAAAATAAACTGGAATATCTGGATCTGGGAAAAAAGGACATGATATCTAAAAACAATCTAAGAAGCTGACAAATGAAGATTTATCCAAAAACAGAGCTCCTAATGTACTAGGGGAGTGGTTTTAGACGCTTGTCCAGGCAAGCATCGAGGCACTTTACAAGCTGTGCTAACAACTCATGCAGCAAAGAGCGGAGAAGTCAGAAAGGAGAAGCAGAAGTTAGCTCGGGCTAAAATTAGACTGCCTGTTTTTACAATTTCCTTACTAAGAAGTCAGGTCATACCTGAGCCTCCTCCTGAAGAGCAACGAAAACACATGAAACCTCTGATGCTTAACCAGAAATGCCGAGAAGGGGAGAGAACCTGGAGGCTCGGCTAAACTCTTACCTGATGAAGATTAAACATTACCACCCTGCTGATGCTTGAACCCCGGTGAGGTCAGCTGATGTTTAACTGAAACTAACAGAGCAGGTGTGGTTTGACTGAGAGGTGGAGACACACATAAAACCCACTGAAGGAACCCTGTAGCAGGAAGAGAACTGCTCTAAAGGTTCATATGAACTCAGCTTCAAATGGACTAAAGTTATCTGCAGGTGGGGAAAAAACATGTAATGTCACTGACATTTTCTCTTTAGGTGTTCAAAGATAATAACAGTTATTTTACACAAATGAAGGTAGAAATAAGGAAAAAAAAACTCACCGACTCTAATGAAAACTATAACGTTTTAGGTGGTTTCACTATAAAAATAAGGAATATAATAATAATCTTTTCTTGTTTTTAACAATCTGATAAAATTTAAACCCAAACTGTGGGGAATTTTCATATTTGTGAACAAGTTTCTCATTTTAAAACAATTAATAATGATAAAGCATTCACGGGCATCAGTGAGCACCAGTTTGTTGATTAGTTGTGATTTACTAAACAACAGGCATCTTTATTATTTTCTAAAAGAAAGGATTATATTAATGTTTTTCATTATTATTATGATAACCTCCCATCTATTAACAGAAAGTCATAATTATATTATTATGTCAAATGTGTGCAAAATTGCATTTTATTTCCCCACAGCATAATGTGTATTTGTTTGGGATGTCCGATATTATCGATCTGCCATTAATATCAGTCAATATCGATATTAAAATGCAATATTGGAAAATATTGGTATTCGTTTTTCAACTTTTACATACCATACACATATTACACAAACTCTTCAGCTACTTCTCTTCTCTCTAAAATTCTCAAAATATGACAGATCTGAGGTAAAAATTTTGAGATATTTCAGTTTATTTGGCACATTTTGTGAAGTAGAAATGAGCCTTGTGTGGTGAGCGTACGCTGTCCTCACAGCACGTAGCTACGTGTAGCCAAACAGCTAACAAACGACTAAAACAAAAACAAGAATCTTCATTCAAGCTAGCTTTTCTTATCGGCAGTTTTTTTAATAAATATTTTATCACCTTAACTGCAATATATAAAATGAAATACATATCTAACTAATACACACACCTTAGTGTCACGTTTAGGGAGAATGAGATTCAGCTGAAACCAAATGCCTCTTGTCCTTTTACCAATTTAAATTGAGGTAGTTGTCATTTTGCACAGAAAATGTTTAAAATGTAGGCATGCATGATATGAGATATTAGTAATCTAAAATGTAGGGCTGCCACAAACAATTGTTTTAATAATCGACTAATAATCAATTTTTTTGGCGATTAATCGACTAATCCTGTCTTGAATAAAGTATAGCTTATTACAGCAGAACGCAGCTGCTCTAATAGACCCATCATTAGCTTCTAATTAGACGTGTGATCTGCTTGATTGTCTCTTTGAAACCTTGATCACCAACGATAGACAGGGGTCTCATGTCCGTCACTAACAAGTTCAAAACTGCCTCGGTCAGAACGTTTTCTTGTCAAAGTGTGTATGTTTTTGGTTTTGTAACAAACTCGTCCATTGAAGAGGAGTGCTTTTAGAACACTGTAACATAGCAGGATACAAGAAATAATTAGCGATTGTAACGTTAGAGCAAATATGCGACATACGTGTGCTAAAGGAAATCATCACTACTGTTGTTGCTCGCTATTGATATTAGTAACTCCCTGATGATGTTAGCTGCTAACGAGAGATAATTAGCTTCTAGAGGCGACTGTCCCCTTCGTTCTTCACCTTCACATGCTTTCCTTTAAGGCATTCATGCATCAGTGTTGTGCTCCCATGAAAGGAGAGTTCCACTTTGCAGATTTCATACTGTCCAAGCTTCTCTTTGACTGTAACTTTGTAAAATGCTCCCGAACGTTTGAGCTACGTTGCCGGTTCACCATCATGTTTTGTTTGTCCGGTTTTGCAATGGCTGACCCAGATGGTCACTTCTACAAATGTGCCTAAAGCAGCAGAAGGTGCCACAGCAGGCGTGACTGAAAAAAATATGTTTCATAGAATAAACAATGACATCGACAATTTGTTTGTCGACGTCATTGCAACTAATCGGCAGCACTATTAAAATGCTTTTGTTTTTCTGTTTTATGAGAGGAGGACAGCGTATGTCAGTATCAGTTTATACCGATAACAGAAATTAGGACTCAGACAATATCGGTGTATCGGATATTGGTAAAAAGCCAATATCAAGCATCCCTAGTTTTTGTTCTGGTGGATTTTAGAGAAAGATCACTCTGACTGGAAGCTGCAACTATGATCTGTTCCAATTACATATTTACTTGAAACTGGACACCTGAAATCTTGTTTTGCTTGCACCCAAACTAGCTGTTAGCTCTTTCTCTTTCACCAAACTGAGGCCATTCAGGAACAGGAGAGGTGGAAAAGAATTTAAATTTTACACAGAAACACACTTCAAAATGGCCAGAACATCAGTTTATCCACAGTGCCTAATTAAGAAACCTTCTGTGTGTTTCATTAAATTCCATTCATGCGCCGACCTGCAGAGAGACCATGTCGGGCCTGTACTGCCGCCTGATGCCGAGGTCGTACATCAGGAACTTCAACGTGTCAAAAGCCTGTTCTTCACTCATGTGGAGCAGCAGAATTCCAGCCACAAAGCTGACACCCTGGCAGTAGCCAACCTGAGAGAGGGGGAGAGAGAGTGAGTGCACATTATGTATTGATCAAAACAGAGAGGCCTTGCAGTAATCCACTGAGATTAAAGCAAAGAGGATTACAGTACCTCTGTATCCAGCAGAGAGTAGGCCTTCAGGAGGTTGTAGAGGGACAGCTGACCTGCTCCAAGCTGAGCTGAGAAGTACTGGTGGGTGGGGAAGGTCCGGCCTGAAGACGGAGACACGTTTAGATGCTTTCACCATGAAATAAAACAGATGCACTGGAAAAAAAAATGCACTAACTAAACTATTACAAGGATTTTACTCTTATCGTGTTTGTTATAAATCTGTAAATTAAATCCTGAAAGCAGGACAATAATAAGTGTTGGAAATGTTGCCCCATGCTCCACATTTCCTCATGTTTACAGTCTGTTCTGGAAACATTTACTACCAGAACACTCAAGAGACAAGAAAACCTACCCTGCTGATAAAAACATTGCTGGTCACCACATTAATCCTATAAATTTGTGAAAATATCTGGGAATTCAGCTTAAAAGGTAACTTTCATTCGCTGTTTAAATTTAGCTTCTGTTTAAATAATTAAAACCAGCCAAAGGAATCAGGACACTGTTTCTGTAAGAGTGAGACGTGAGAACCTAGATCCACTAGGATGGCATGCTGCTGCGCCGTGAGCTGCTTTAGCAGGTCTTGGTAGGGGGTGTCGGGGGCTTGCTGCCGTTGAGGAAGCCTGTGCTGCAGCCGGTGCTGGTGGGAAAGGAACAACCACACCTCCCCACGTCTGCTTTTGGGAACTCCTGCACACAAAGATCAACAGCTCATCAAAAAGACATCCAACATACACTTTTAAAAAAGATTTTCCATTTGTTGCATGCATGTTTTTTGAGGGGTTTGTGGCAGAAAATCCCCACATGCATGAGAAGAACGTGCAAACACTCTGCTTCCGGTCAGTAACAAGATGGCGCCTGTGCTTGGCTTAGCCTCAGTCACCGGCCACTTTTTCAAACTGTTCCCCACTAACCTCCTCTTTTCCACCTTGCTCCTGTCTGCGATCCTCTTCAGTAGTGTCCCTGCTACCATCTCCTATGATCGCCAGAGTCTTTTGTCCTTCCGTTCATTCACGATCGCCCAAGATGCATCGAGGACGTACCTCCCTGTTTGTTTATCTGAGTGGCGCACTGCCCCGGAGCCAAACAACGGTCCCAACCTGCGCGCCTCCAGCGATGCTTATCCGGTCCCGGGAACACGTCGGAGGAAAAGAGGTAAACGAGCAGGAATCCAGGTGAGAATAAGACTTCTCTTAAAGTGTGGTTTATCTACTAAACATCGGCGTGATCTTCTAGCTTCTTGTCCTTCGTTTGGCGACTTGAGCGCCACTTCCACATTCCCGCCAGGCCGCGTTGTGGCGAGGTTCATCCGTCCAAGTTTTTTAATGTCGGTTTATCCTCATTCCTCCGTGGTTTCTCCTCCTGTTCCCTCCATAAGTGGTTTTTATAAACACTGTGGATCTAACCCTGCTAATTTATGTCCACTAACTCCAGCTGTCTCTGTAGTTTCTGATTCCTCCTCCTCACTCAGCATGGCTCTATTAAATACCCGCTCTGTTAACAATAAGTCCTTCCTGCTCAATGATCTAATTCTGTCTAAAAACCTGGATTTTCTGTTTCTGACTGAAGTTTGGCAGCAAACATCTGATTATTCTGGTCTGATTGAACTCTGCCTGAGTGGTTTTTCTTTTCTTAGCCAGCCCCGGGGTTCTGGCCGTGGTGGAGGCCTAGCTGTTGTGTTCAGAGACCATCTTCCATGTAGCTCTACAACCTCTGGTCATGCAAATTCCCAGGCAGCCCAGTGCTGCTGCAAAATGCACATAAACTTATTTTGAACTAACATTTCTTATAATTTACCAGTTTTGAATATTTAATACTTGGTCAGTTTACTAATTTTGTGATTAACTTTAATTAGAGTTTTACACTGAGCAGTACACACAATTAGGATTTAACAGCTGGATTAAACTCGGTGTTCAAAAACTCATTCGGTTTCAGACGTTTTGTGCATTAACTGATGTTATGAGATTTTATCATGAAAACGAAGTGGAAAACGTTTAGATATCGACCATGAAAATCATCCCAAAATACTAGCAGCACAAGTCGGCCACCAGCTGACCATGCCGGTCAACCTCTACTAGCAATAGCAACATGAGATCTTTGGTAGCAGCATCTTCTAGTAGTGCCCTAAACATTTGTGCAGTCAGAAGAGATTCTTTCTTATTTACTTTTGGTACTTTTGCCAAAGATGATGCATTTCTCAATTTATGTTCTCCTTTCTTATCTGCATCTTTGCAATAAACCTTTGTTTACATGTGGAAAATGGGTGCAATGGGCCATGGAAGAGTACAAATATTATTTTTGATACTCCTATCAAGACCTAAGGTATGAGTGTGGGTCCTCGTTGGTGTGGACGAGTCTCACCTTGGCAGAGTGCACGGTAGATTTCCTCCTTGTCCTGTGGGTTTGTTGTCCTGCCCGGAGCCGTGAGTTTTTTCTCCCACAATGCCTGAGCTTCCTGGGAGCACTGGCACACTTCCTGATAGTTGAGTTTCACTTTGCGGATGTGGAGCTCATCCCGACTTGCTTCATGGCAATCATACGAAAAGCAGAAGAAAACAGCACGGTGAAAATCTTTGCTGTCCTCGTTTCCACTTTCATAAATCAAAGTGTACATTTGTAAAAGACCTCATTTGATCCCCGTGAACCTTTAATCTGGACTCACTAATCAGAAACCTGCCATGTAAACACGCAACACAAATAATCCCACCTTACTGCGCCAAAGTTATGAAGAGGCTACATGGACATGAGGAGGAGACACGGAAGGATAAAAGAAAGACAAACGCCATGAAGGACGATCATCCCTGAACATGCAAACCAAAAGGAAGCTGAGTGAACGACTAACAACCAGCCACCAGAAGTCATGCAAAACCTCCATCTTGATCCCAAAGGCTACGTTTGACTTGGCTTACCTTCTTTAGAAAACAGTTATTCACAGTAAAGTCCTCAGACCAGCAGTGCGGTCACAGTTTCAAACAAAAGAAGAGAGACGTGTTGGTTTTTAAGTTGGAATAAAAGTAAAAGACACTTCCCAAAGCAGTTTTTCTACATTTCGGTTGTTTTTACTATATAATAAACATTGTTTCTGTTTTACTGGTCTGAGTTGTAAAAATTTTCATTATTAAGTTGAACATTTTTTAATCTACACACAATTTTCTAAGATAGAGTAACACTCTCAACCTGAAAAAAAAACTCTGTTATAGACACGAGGGAAGAGAAGTGCCCGTAACCTGATTTAAACTCACCTTCTAGTCTCTGATTCTCCTTTTCCATGCGCAGCAGAAGAATCTGCTGGTGGATGGCGGTCTTCCACAGAGCCCGGTAGTCCGCCGCTGTCCTATTAGGCCTCTTATCGGACGGTTGGTCGTGCATTGGGGACAGAAGACGCCTTAAATGGTCCAAACCTGGTTCTGAGGGATGGGGAGACAGAGGCAGCAGCTCTGTGGTGTCAGAGTGGTCTGCAACAAGAGCATGCACAAATAATAATTGGAAGAATAATGTTAAACAACACAACAGAGTGTGCAGCTTTTCCTTTAAATTATGGCATTTTTATTCTGCACTCTGCTCCCAGCGGTAATTAGCACCTGTTTTAGGAAAGAAAAGCACAAATACACCAAATTGCCTATAACAGTACATGACATTAGGAACTCTCTGCCAGCAAAACACACGTCATTACTGGGAGCATGAAACTTAATCAGAGCTGGATGGTTTAGTAAAAAATTTGTAATAATTAAAAAAAAAAATTCTTTCTCTTTATTTTCTCGCCATCTTTAAAGTAGCATTGTGAAAGGGGCGGGTGGAGCGGAGTGGAGTGGAGCTGATGCTAGTGTGTAAGTGGCATAAGTCTCTGGGTGACCCCATATTAGACGCCGTTGGCGCTAACACATTAGCGTCAGTTTGGTCTCTTATGGTGCCTTCCGGGACCGGAATTTGGTTTCACACACAGGTCAGATTTGCGTTTTCGGTGCCAAGACGACACTTTTTCTCAGACCTTCTCCCCAGCGGTCAGACTGGGACCGAGGCGACACCACGGACTGATTGGCTGGCTGAAATTATGCCTACCGCCTCCGATCTGCGAGAATAATGAGCCAGCGGGGGGGTTCCCACATGCGCGATTCATTTTCCTGCTGGATACTTTTGCATAAACATCAGTCTGTAGCACGGAGCAGCTGTTCCAGAGCAGCTGATCAGTGTGGGAATGGGAGAAGGAAATAGCTGTGTGTGTGTGTGTGTGTGTGTGTGTGTGTGTGTGTGTGTGTGTGCGTGTGTGTGTGTGTGTGTGTGTGTGTGTGTGTGTGTGTGTGTGTGTGTGTGTGTGTGTGTGTGTGTGTGTGTGTGTGTGTGTGTGTGTGTGTGTGTTCTCTGCATCGGTGCTTGCCCCGGCGAGCAGACAGCTGCTCAGGGCAGAAATCAGTGTGTGTGCGTGGCACAAGATTATGAGGACACACACAGTAAATTAATAAAATAATGTGGTTCCGAGTCTCCAAAAGAAACACAGCTCATGCCCGCCTTTGTTAAAAACACCCAGAAAGCTCCTAAAGGCCAAAGGTCACTTTGATACATCTAAGTCAGGGGTGTCCACAACTTTTCAAGACAGGGGACAAAATCATTAAGATAAAATGTGATTTTATTTTACTAAAAAATTGTTTTATTTGTGCTGTTCAAAAAAAGGCCTAATATATATATTTGTAAAAATCTGAACATAAATATTTTTAAAAGTGTTGATCTACATCAGCAGCCTGCTGGAGTGAGAAAATCCCACCAATAGAAATGCCAATGGGCCAGACAAAATGTCTCAGAATTTGGACATGTCTTGCTGGGAAGACGGGGGAATCCTTTGGTCAAGTTGACCTTTTCGGTGCCGCTCATCTGTATGAACAATATATCAACACGTGTAAAACAGTTCGAGGTTTTTTAAATAAAATTAAATTCCATGACAGTGTCTTCAGATAAGTTAAACAGACTTGTTTCCAAAACAAGCATGGAAAATTAGCTCCAGCTAAGCTGTTTGCTTATAAAAAACTCCACATAGCGCATAATTTCCAGAAGTATTAGAAGAGAAGTGTTGCCACACCTGTGTGCTGCATGGATGTAGATGGCTTGTTCATGGGTGACGCCACCCTCAGGAAGATCTTCTGTCTCCAGGAGACCCTGCGCGGGGTCTGAGGAAGACCTCCACTCAGCGAGTCATTGCTGCAGCTAGACAGGGTCCGTTTCCTGCCTTCTCCATTATTGCTACAAGAGAAGACAGCTGAATCAGAGACACCCGATGAACGAGTCAGGTATCCTGTTACACCAAGCCTCTTTGAGCAGCCATTTGTAAAGGCAGCCACCCCTTCAACACACACAGCAGAGGAAACCTCACACAACTGAAGGATTTACGACAAAGGGTGAATTCATGGGGACAAAAAAAGCTGATTTCCAGCATTTGTGTTAATAAAGCAGAAGTTAGTGGTAGAGTAACCATCAGCTGAGGGATGGCTGTCACTTCTGGCAAGGAGGTTTGCTGTTTGTGTACAAAAAAATCCAGAAAAGTAACTGGTTCATAAAACATTTAATACCTTAATTATTTAACATGTCAGAAAATCCATAAGCTAAAATTTTATCTACATTAGTTTTCAACAAATTCATTCTAAAGAAAACCATCCTGTGTAATAACAGATTTTATATTTGTTATAAACAGAACCATGACATTATTTAATGAAAGAAAAATAACAATTCAGGTAGATTTTAAAATAGAATGTTTTAAACAGATTGTTTTATTTTAATCATTTGAAGTGTTCATGTGGAAGGGACTAAATGGAAAATTAATGTCTTATTGCAGATAGTTATTTGAACAACCTCAGTTTGGGGAAACATAGATTAGTTCTGAGTCAGGCCAATTACAAAGACTTTCTGTCTGATCAGCGTCAGCCTGACGAAGTTTGCAGCCGCAAACGAAACGTTGCAGGTAAATAAAACCTTTCTGTGTTTTAAAAAGAACTAAAAGATGGAATTAGAATTTCAACACGGCAAGAACACACCAAAGATTTCTGTCTGACTTTTATCTCAAATGTTTAATAGCAGTTTGTGCAAATATTAAAGGCACAATCCAGAATTTTCCCACTTTCAGGAATTATGAATGATTTTCTAGAAATCCATAAGAGTCTTATCCTGTATTGTGAGATGTGGCAAAACATTTTTTTTTTGCTAAGCCCATAGAGCTCCATGCAAATTCAATCAACCGCCATCCAGCATTAGCCAATAGCGTTGGACATCCGCTAACGTACAGCTGTCAGTCACACAGCAAGTGCTTGAGGACATACCTGGACAGTAAGTATTTAGAAAACACATTTACAGTATGAATAAACAACACAATGTGAGAACAAATGTAAAACCATGTATTTTAGCTCTATTGGCCAGCTAGAGGTGTGCGTTCGTGAACGATGGGCGTTGCTTTCAGACAAAAATATCAGTCGTGACAACGGTTGAAGGTGCAATACATTTGTTAGCCTCTAGATGGTGACGTCAGATAGACAATACTCCAGATTATAGCTTTAATTAATAAACTTCTACACCTTCATCATTTATACAGAATGACAGACATTAGCTATGGTGCTAGCATCTTTAGCACTTCAGGCTGAAAAATAATGAAAGTTAAAATTAAGAGTAGATGTTACTTTTGAAATACAGCTGTGATTTTAAAATAATCACAGTCAGAATAAAATAAACAATATAAGCAATAAAGTTTCCATAAACTTCTGGGGAACGTTTGATACTTCAGGAGTTTCTTCATCTAGTAACAAATATCTTTCCTGTGCTTCTTAGGCCCTGTCCACACGTAGCCGGGGATCTGCCAAAACGTAGATATTTTTCTACGTTTTGGCCTGTCATCCATACGAAAACGGATCTTTTTCACACGAAAACGGATCTTTTTAAAAACTCCGGCCAAAGTGAAGATCTGCGTTTTCTCGGTTTTGGGTGTCTGCGTGTGGACAGACAAAACCGGAGTTTTAAGGTCCGCAACGTCACTTTCCGTGACAAAAAATGCTGACATCACGTGTGCGACCTGTGTTTACACTAGCCGACATCGTGGATGCCCTCAGAGCTGCGCTCGCTTTATCTATTGTCCAAGCGCTTTTTGCTTGTTTGTTTTTGCAAGCGGAATTACTGCTCCTTGCGGAAGACCACAGACGAAGGACGAGGTTAAGAACGGGGGAAGTACTGCCGCCTACAGGCCTGGCATGTCCTTAACAATGTATTTATCCGGGTACGTGTGGACAGTTTTTTTTAAACGAGGTGGTGTGGATGCAAGTTTTTGGAGGGGCGGATATTCGTTTTTCAAAAAAAAAAAATATGGCTACGTGTGAACTAGGCCTTAGTGGTGCTGCAAGCTGTTTACAGCAAGAACAAGCAGGCTGAGATCAAGCATCAACTTAAAGAGACAATATGTAGTTTTTAACATTAATTTCTGGAAAAATCCATCAAAATGTTGTTGAAAATGAGTTCAGTGATGCCCAGTTGTTGAAAAATATTGGCAGCTTTGTAACATCTAACCATAAAAATCAGGTCTAAAATGCATGGGAGCAGGTCTAAGTCTCAGGGCGACACCATATTAGATGCCATGCTTCCTTCTACGGGAGCCCTTGAGGACAAAATGCATTTACTGATTCGTAACAAACTGTTATAAAACTTTTGTCATTCTTAAATGTTGTTGTTTTACACATTTACCTCTTCACTTGTTGCCAGTGATGAAAGGGAGTCTGATGTGCTCATTATTTTGCTAAAGTTTGCACTCCCCAGGGCTTTTTGACCCTAATGGGCATCCGTTAGTAAGGTCTTAACACAAAAATACTGCTTGATTGCAACGATTTAGGTATCTACTGCCCCCTATCGCCAGGGAAATTACACACTGTCACTTTAAATACCCACAGGTGAAATAAACTGGATACAACATGTCATTTGAAAACGATTAGCAGTAAGAGATCTCAATTTGAGGTTAATGCACCAAACAGAATCACATGTTGTAAGATGCATTTATTCTAAGTAAATTTGACTAAATGGAAATATTATATTCAAATTATAAATGCCTAATCTAAAAGAAGTGGTGCAACACAAGAAGATAAACAGCAAAGACGTTTTTGCAATGATCACTTTTAGCTCATCAAACAAATGACAGATAGACGTGGACTAAATTGTTGGAACACTTCAGTCAATGAAAGAAAAACCCACAATGGTCACAGAAATAACTTGAATCTGACAAAAGTAATAATAAATATAAAAAATTATGACATTTAACCAATGAAAGTCAGACATTGCTTTTCAACCTTGCTTCAACAGAATTATTTAAAAAAATAAACTCTGAAACTGGAACTGGGACCTGGGCTAAAAGGAAAGGTAACAGCAGTTTTATTCACATCTGTAGAAATAAAAACAATTTTTCTCTAAATAGATCAGTTGAACGCCCACCCAGCCTGATCATTTGGGCACAAAGAAACAGGAAGTGACCCTGGATTTAGATAAATGTCATCGACTATCTTTTACAGCTGCTCTAGTCACACAACTTCCCCACTTTTTCTAATTCCTCTTTAAACATCAGATTTAAATAAACGTTTTTCGATCATTTAAAGTCCTTATTACCATGCAGTCCAACTAAGGGGATGGGCTGCAGTCAGAGTAAAGAGGAGCAATCACCCACAATGCATCAGTGCATCTCATTCATAATGGAACGGTTAACCTTTAGCATCTGCCACCTCGAAGCCCAGATGTCGCACGCCTCGGATCGTCTTGCTTTTGTAAAAAGGTTCTACCTGCAGGTCTCTGTGGGTGGGCTTTGCAGCAAAGTTTAAGCACAAACATCACAAAACTGAAGATGCTGTGAAAAGCCTTCCTGAACGCATCATAAATGAAAAAGTCAGGAAAAAATTATAAGAATCAAATGTAGTTAAAAAAATCAAGGAGTTTGCCATGCTTTAAATTCCCATGCAAAGTCCAAGAAGCAAAGGCCGTATCAGCATCCCCTCTGGCTCGGAGCCAAGCAGGAAGCCGGGGGCTGCAAAGCTAACGGATAAAAACAAAAAAAAAAGGCTGGAAATTGTTTATTTATAAAGAAAATGCTTCTGAGGATTGACAGGAAAGAGAAGCTGGGTGTTAGAAGAGAGCCAACATGTTTAACGGCCGCTGCCATCAGACCCCGCCACACATTTTCTCACTGAAGCTTAAATCTGTGAAAGGGGGGGGGGGGGTGCATCTGAATGGCCCCCTCTCACCTCTTGGGACTCCCACCGTCTCCCAGTGAGCTCAGTGAGCCCAGCGAGCCTTGGTAAAAGCTTTTCAGGAAAGTGGGAGCAGAGAAGGAGGAGGGGAGGCTGAAGGAGGACTCGCTCTCCGAAACACTGCGTGTCCTTGAAACAGCCACGGGACTGGGCGGGCCACACATGTAATGCCCACAAATAAAAACAAAGCGTTACGCAATGGACAAAAAGTTTCTGATGGGAACACACACACACACACACACAAAAATAACAGGAATTCATGAGGGATCAAAACAGGAAAACTTGTGATGCTATTGTTTTAGGACAGCGGAGCAGGAGGTGAAGGGATTTGGGACTGATCAAGGTGCTGCAAATAGATTACATTGTCTGCACGAATCAAAAGGTCAACTAAATATTTAGTTAGCGTTAACGTGATTGGGAGAAATGCACAGTTAGCGTCAAGCTTATCTTCAACAAATACAGAAAAGACTAATTCAATCAAATGAGCCCCTGCAACTCCTGCAGAATTTGCTGATGCACAAAATATAGGAAAAGAATTTCACAAAAACACCGCGACTGACTGTCTCCAGTTCAGAAGCCATACCTGGTCTGCAGCAGCTCCGGGTTCACCGACTGCTGTCTGCGGAGAGGAGCCTGTTTGGTCTGACTGATCGGCTGGCTCTCGAAGGAGATGCGTTTCCTCACCGGCGGGTGGCTGAAGGTGTGAGCGCGCCGGCGGAAGTGCTGTCCAGATTCCAGGTCCTCGTCAGGAAAGGCAGGGGGAGAACCTGGAGGGGAGTGACCAGGAGACTCCTCATCCTGCTGAGGAAAAGAGGAAGACATCAGCCGATTCATTAAATAAAACACCCGTTTATGACATTTCAACTGAAACAGGAAACGCCCGTGAAGCCTTTAAAAGTTAAACAGCCTCACCTAAGTAATCAAATCCCGGGTAAGACTCTCCAGGCTCAACGTTTGAATTCAGAGTACTAAACTCAGTTCCTCATGCCTGCTGCAACTCCCACATCTATTGTATTCTAATGGACAAAGCCCTATGACTCTGAGTATCACACACTATTGGTGGGGAGGTCTTTACTGATACGACACAGCATGAAAAACCCTCCAATCTCAACTCATAATGCCTCCAGAGACCTCCCTCTTTAACTTCTGTCACGACTCGGGCCATGCTGGGACATTTGTGCTGCTTGTTTCTATCAAAACTGCTACAAGATTTAAAGCCAATGACTGCAAGCATCTAAATATGTTTGCCAACTAACACGTTGTGAGTTTTAGGGAACTCTACAAAAGTAGATCTGAAACGGTCCGGTGACACATGCGGTGCAGCAGGCAACTGGAAATCCTGAGTGGGGTTTCCTGCCTGCTTGGACATCACATCCTGACAGAATCCCCACAAGGCCGCTCATGAATGTGTTCACAATGAAAACAACTCGATCAGGGGCCTCATTTACTGAACTTTGCTTAGAATCATTACTAAACTCTACAGAAGGTCAGCAAAATGAATTAACTCATTTTCCGTAAGTTTAACTCTGCGTTCGTAACGCCTGCTATCCAAATCACACCCTCCCTAGAAATGTGCGTAGCTGATTTTGGATCGTGTCCCGCCTCCTTTGTGCCACAAATGGTCAATGCAAAGCACTTTATGAATACTCTACATTTAAAGAGCAAGTCACCCCTTACAAGAAGCGTACTTCACTCCCACTTCATGTTTGAAAAATGCAACAAATGCTGTTGCCTAGCAGACCGAGAGGGTGGAGCCACTAACAAATACACACACTCACGACATTGTGACATCATAATGTACCAGTTTACATCATAGCATGCCTCTTAGCCAATAGCGGTGGCAGATTTAAATTCAAATGTAGTGAAGAGTTTTTACCTGACAACGGCACAACATTGACAGTTTCAGGCAGAAAATTTAAATTTTACCTAAAATGCACTAAAGTGCAAAACTATTGACTACACGTGTCTGCAGCATGATTAGACATGCATTTATATAGTTTATCAGAAAAAAATTGTTGATTTGGGGGTGACTTGCTCTTTAAATTAGCCGGCTGATTTGATGGGTAACCATGGCAACAGAGGTTGAAATCGGGGCGCTTGTGAATGACATAGACACGGAAAAGGTTTTATTGGCTCATAGCGACACTGCTCTGTTCTAGCGGTGGGCTGTTGAACGGCTGCATTATGAAACTCTGGGATCGCTGAGATATTCCAAATCTGATTGGAACGTGAGATGAAATGTTTTGTTTAACCCAAAGAAGCAGGAAATAACATGCACATTTCATTGATTCAAACAAATACCAGCCTGCTGTTCAGCTAATTCCTGCTGGAATGAGTCTTACTCCACCCACACTTCCTGTTTGAAAAATGCACCACAAGGAGGCGTGGCCAGGTGGACTGAGAAAGCAGCGCTGAAGCAGTGACTAACAGCATAACCTGAAGAGGACACATATTTGATTTTTTTTATTTTACAAAAGTTGCACTAAAATGCCAAAATAATGACTATGCATGTCTACAGTACTATTAGACCCTCACTTATACAATTTATCAGCCAGAAAATGATGATTTAGGGGTGACTAGCTCTTTAAGGAAACCCGACAGGCGCGCCGGTGCCTGGTTTGCTGCAGTGAAAAGTTTAATTTACAGTTTGGGTCTCCATAAATTCATCATTTAATCATCTCACCGTCTGCGTTGCGTTGTCATGCATACTTTTTAGACCACGTTTTGTGCCTCAGAAAGTTTTATGAACGAGTCTCCCGGTTTTAAAAAATGTAACAGAAAGGGATTGGGACTTTTTCAAGGCTGTGTGGTGGAGATAAGCGCTGCATCTATAACAATGTGCTCTTTGGTAGATCACTGCCAGGGTTCACCTTCACAGATCTATAGTTTGGTTTCACTAAAGCAGCCGCTTGACTCCAAAAGCAGCTGCAAACAATCAGACTTACTAAAAATACATCATGAGGACTTGTATAACTTTAACAATTGAAAATAGCCAAACAGATCTTGTATTTCATCTCTTGGCCACGTAAACAATGAGCTCCTCTGGCTTCAGCAACACTGATCAGAGTCAAAGCCTCTCCTGCTCTGGGCAGAGCTGCAGCCTGACGGCAGAAAGTGAGAATTCCCAGAGTCCCACTCGACTGAAGTTCCGTGAAGCCTCGTGTTTCCCTCTCAAGGACACTTACTCTTTCAAAGCTGCTGATGCTTCCCATGCTTCCCAAGCGACCACGAACTCGGCTGGCGCCCTGGTGACACATTTGATGGAACATGTGAAACATCAAATATTTAAATAAAGGCAGATAAATGTTTTCTCTGGGAATAAAACGGCATAAAATGAAGATGAAAAAGAGAAAAATTGGCTAAAAACAGGACAGATGTTTCCAGACTTGAAAAGCATCCATGGTGCCATTGTTCATCTAAGTCTCTGAAATGATAACAGATGGCAGCAGAGACCTCTGATTGCCTGGATCCATCCACCGTGGACTTATTCTGCCGTCTCACCGGCAGATATGGGTCACTCCCAATCCCCCGGAAGACCGTGACACAGAAACAGCAACCAAAACAACCAGACCGGGAGGCAAAAAGCCGCTCAGCATGGTGGCTACATTCAATCAGCGGAGGGGAAATAAGAGACAGGAGCAGCAGCGGGAGAAACCAATAGGAGAAACTAAATATTTCCAATAATATTATTAAAAAAAACAAAGCAGGAGTCTATTGTGTAACATGTTGTGAGCTCAGACCCACCCTTGCAAAGATGTTTTCCAGAGAGCTGGTGAGCGATGTGCGAGCTTTGTTCTTGAGAATGTCAAGTTTGAAGCGACTGCCTGTGGCTGTTCCGTCTCCGGCTGCTGCTGCTGTGGAGCTGTTGGCTGAGGGCTGACAGACAGAAAAGACTCATCAGGCGTTAATAAAACCGCAACAATGGTCACATTAAAGCCTAAATGTAGTAAACCAAGAGGCAGGTGGTCTTTTAAGGGTATTTTTTACACAGTTGATCCTAAAAACCAGGCTTCAGTAGAACTCTTGAAAGTCCCTGGTCCTTTCTGGAAAAACACTGCAGCCCAGAACATTTGGTTCTGTGAAATGCTTCATAATGCATTTCTCCTTTGCCCATTTATGCACTAATGCATCAAGCAACACTCTATCATTAACACACTGAGGGGTGCAGTGGGATGAGTTTGGTCATCCACTAACAGAAACAAGGAAACAGCAAAATAAGAAGCAAGCAGGGAGTGGAAGGGGTCAGGTGGGATGTTGAAACACACAGATACGGGCTAAAACGACATTTTTACATAATTTTCTTGAAAATCCTCGGAAAAGACTAGAATATGATGAAAGATTATTTAAATAATTATTTCTATTCCTAGAAAAGTAGCACAAAATGAATTTGAACTTATTGTTCCAATAAAACATTTGAGACTTTTTTCTGTTAGATTATTAAAATTACTTATGCATAAACGTTGAAGCCAATAGCCACTGCTATTCTACTTGCAGTTCTGTTAAGTAATTATTTTTTTTATGCAGCAGCTTTAAAAATACATGCTAATTAGAGATGCGCCAAAAGGTTTGTTGGTCATAGACACGATTCCTAAAGCCAAACACTGGCACAATACAGAAGGGTGGTTTTTATCCGAGTTTGGAGTGTTTATAAAGGTAGCAGAGACCAACATGGCTGCAAATGCGAGTTGTGCATAATATGTGCCCTTTAAGAATTCAACATGTAGAAATGTGTTGGCCCAACATCGAGTAGTAATAAGTGTGCTGCCTGCTGAATGTGACGTGTAGCTAATCAGATAGAGAGGTGGCAGAAAAACGATGCAATCTTCCTTGTCCACCATGTTTGTTTATTTTTAAGTCACATTTGATCTTAAAAAGATGTGTAGTTTTTACCTATTTTTTATATCTCTGGAAATTTCCACCAGAACGTTGTTGAAAATGAATAAGATGATGTCCAGTTGTTGAAAAATATTAGCGGCTTTGTAACATATAATCATAAAAATCAGGTCTAAAGTACAAAGCAGCAGGTCTAGCACCTTTTAGGGACGCCATATTAGACGCCATGTTTCCTTCTGGCTCGATCGGGGTCCTACGCCTGTTGATGACATCACACTAGATCAGTGGTCGGCAATCCGCGGCTCTTTCATCCATCTGATGCGGCTCTCTGTGCTTGTAAAATAATGAGTAAAATTTTTTTTTCTGAAATCAATTTTTGTTTTGTATGCCAATTCTAAATGTCATCTTTTCAAATCTAAACAAAAATGATAAAGACCTGAAATGACAGGTCACCTGCTTGTGCGTAATCAAATGTCTCTATAGGCACTTTCTGAGCTGAAGAGGATATGAGATTCTGGACTTTTCCTCAGGCAGGCTCATGGATTCATCACCACAATGGAGACAGAAACAAGTGCTACTCAGCCAAAGTTTCATAATCAGGGAACATTTTCGAAGTGACCGGTCTCTCTGAGAGACAGGGTTTGGGAAACATTCGCTTCAGCGAGAGGAGCCTCCCCGCATGCGCTCTGGTTCGCCAGTGACCGGCCTGTGCGCTGACAGCGACCAGCCTTGAGCAGTGTCCAATACGCAGATGTTCTGATGGGAACCTTTTCTTGATTGATGTAGCTACCTCCGTGATGTGCATGACGATTAAAATGTCAGCGCATCTGCAGCCTTGAAGTTTCTCCGTCAAAATAAAGGATAAAATAGGGGAAATATCCGGTCAACGTAAACCCTGCCATTTAACTATTAAGCCTTCTTGTGAAGATTGTTGCAAAGAGAAACGTTAGACTTGACTAACACCAGAGCCATGAGCACTGCGCTGTTCTCTCCGTCACCGTAAATGAGGGGCAAAAATGAATTTATCTGACCCTTTTCTTTCCTTTTCAACGTTGTTTAATGTAAACTTTTGTACACAGTTTAATTACAACAATCCAACGAGACAGAGCCTGGATTTGTATTCTCAACGGTTAAAACATGTTTAAAAAGGAGACGTGTGACCCGTCAAAAAGGAGACCCCTGCTCAAGCCTGGATGCTGTGGCTCCCAGTGTTTTCTTTACTGTGGGAAACGGGTAATAACGGCTCTTTGATGGGAAAAGGTCGCCAACCCCGGCACTAGATGATTGGCTGGACGTACGACTTACGGAAATTACATTACAACGTTCAAAAATATTTAGGCAGTGAGAAACACTAATTTAATAACAAAACTGCTAAACTCTTCAAAAATGTGAAAGAACAGAATCGAAAAAGAGCTGCAATACAATTTTGGCTGAGTGGTATTGCCGTAGTATGACGACGATGGACCGTTTGTGGAGTCACGCAGAGGTTGCGTGCTTTCTGCTCCACAGGTAACATTTACTGTACTGTTTTTGTAAACCAGCGACACACAAGCCATTAAGGTTGGGCGATGGGACGAATGAATCGCCCTCCGGCGATGGGCTGAGCCATTACTGTTGTTTTTTTACAGAAGGCGATTTGTTTATTTATTTATTTGTTTGTTATTGACGAATATTTTATGTTTATGTTTATTCATTTAGCAGACGCTTTTATCCAAAGCGACATACATTGTATAACCTGTAGGGCACGTTGTGATCTGTGGGGTAAACCGGAGTACCAGGAGGAAACCCACGCATGCATGGGGAGAACATGCAACTCCACGCAGAAAGGCCGCAGCCGAGTTTCGAACCTGCAACCTTCGTGCTGCGAGGCAACAGTGCTAACCACTGCGCCACCATGCAGCCCACCATTTTACACGCTACACACAGAGAACATCGCGGAGGTATCATTCAAGAAAAGATCTCCATCAGAGCATCTGAGCCTTTTCTCACCTCCTCCGCCTCTGGCTGCTGACAGTGCACGCTGAGGAGGGGTTTGGAGCGCGTCTGCGACGCACTCGACATCGTGCACTACAGTGCGGCGTTGAGCGGAAAGTGGAAACCCTTCTATCTTTCAGTCTGGAAGACATCTGCTTATTTCATTTGGAGAAATATTTCCTGATTCAAAACTCTCGTCGTTATTCAGCACCTGCTTCGGGTGTGTCAGCAGAGCACGGATCCATCCAGAAGATTATTTAAACATCCGTGAGTCTGTCTGAGGCAAAAGTCTGGAAGCTCATAACCTCTTCAGCAAGCTCCCTAGAGACATTTGATTACACACAAGCTGCAGGTGACCAGGTCAGGTTTACGCGGCGCAGGAGGGATGTGCGTTCGTGCTGCAGCAGGTGAAATGTTCCTAATTTAAGTGAAATTACTTAATTGCATTGTTCGTGTTACTGGGTCATTCCGATCAGCTTGGTTGGACTAAATATGAATTAAAATGAATGGAAATTTAACAAATGACTATTCATACAGGGTATCTGCAGGTTTAAAGGAGCCAAACTTAAGACTTTTTAAAACCTTTTTTAAGGCCACTTTGACAAAATTTAAGCAATTTTGTAAAATTACATTTAAGCTATAACTTCCAGCCATTGCCTGGAGCCAGTGCTAACCACGTTGCGAACATGGGATTAGCCATCCAGTTACCATTAAACTTGCACTTCCCCATGTCGCAAGCTCCCGCTAGCTTAACCAGCTAATGTGCTCATTTAAAAACAGCCCCCTTTCACAACCAACTGAATGTGTACGGTTCCGCTTACGCCAACATCATACACTAAAAATGCTGAACACTAACTAGAAATTCACGAAATTTTTATAGAAATAAAAGAATCTTGTTTATTGGGTCTTTGGTTATTTAAGACCTTCGGAAACACTATTTAAGGATTACTTGTCATTTTTAAGGATTTTTAAGGCCTTAAATTTGGAAAAGCGAATTTAAGACTTTTTAAGGATACCCTGTCATAATTTAAAAAATGAAAGTGACGGGGATAAATGGATCATGTGACCTCTGGCAGCGAGCTGCCTCCTCAGAGTGCGTCCCAACGTAGCAGCGATTCGTTCCATCCCCTACTTATAAAAGAAAGAACCCCAGAAGTTTTTGTTCAGAAAGAAACATTTTGCTTAAATAAAATACCACAACAGTGGGCACCAGAGGGAAACAAAGGCGAGGCTTCTTTAACCGTGTTTAATACGGGCCGTTTATACGTCACTCTACCAAACTACAAATACAAAATTAAACAAAAAATAATAATATTCATTTCTCTTCCAGCAAACATATGTGCTGCGCTTGTCTAAATAAAAAAATCTATGTTTTGGGCTTCTTCTGTGTTCACAAATCAGTGCGTGCGTCACGACGTCACATGCACAAACAAATCGTCCATCGTCTTTTTTTGGACTGACGTTTGGTGGTGGTAAAAATTATACAAATCACCCAACCCTACTAGCCATAACAGGTCTTCCATGTGGGCATTTTCAATTCTAGAATTATGATTTTTTAGTTAACCAGAATTTAAAAAAATGAGGTGAATAAATGGGAAACTCAGAGTATTTTGTGTGAAACGAAAATAAACAGATACTCCTGCATATATTTCAAAGAGAAAATAGCTTTGAGGACTCAGATTTTCACATCTGCAGATGAACGCTTGTACCTGCGGGGCCTCTCCGACATGAAGGTGGGACTTTTGTTTGGCTTCACAAAGCTGTCTCAGCTGGAGAATCGCCAACTCATTCTCTTCTTGGTCTGATCCAGGCTTCAGTTTCTGCAGAAAGATACCCACAAACACCTCAAAACCAACATCAGCCTCAAAGTAAATGCAGCACTTCAAAGAAAAACTGAGCCATTATTAGTGATAAATCCCTAAACACTGTGAATGTGTTGCAACTGCAGCAGAAAGTGAACCAAACCTGAACTCGCTCAAAAATCTCCGCCTGCTCGTTGTCGGTCAGCTGGGAGAGGTATTTTTGGATGGCCAGCTTTGCTCGAGGTGGGTAGAGACCTGGAAACAGAAACAGACTTTGCATCAGTGTTTTTATAAATTAAAGACACGGAGAGGTGTTGGGGGTGTGGCGTCGTTCACCTTCAATCCTCTCACAGAGCTTGTGCAGGTCATGCATGGGGCAGGCTTCGCACAGCTGTACCGGGGTCTTGTTGCTCTGTAAGGCTGCTGCGGTAGAGAAGGCCTGCTTCAGCGTCAGCATCACTTCATCAACCTGACAAACACAAGTAGCCAAAACTCGGCATCATTTGAACCAGAGTCTGAATTCACAGCATCACTTGTGCAGCTCACCAAGGACTCGCTGGCACACTGGAAAACATAGCACACATAATGGCTGGGGCCGGTTTCTGATTGGTCCCTGCAGATGAATCCAAAATGGTCCGTCTGCCTAGTACCCTGTGGATGGAAGAAAAAAGTGAGCTGAGAGATTGGGAAAGATCAATGTTTCATTACATTTTCATTCAGTTGGCGGCAGAGGGGAACAATCTAGAAGTTTCAGTAATTTATTTAGAGAAACTTGGAAATGCTTTGATGTAAGAAAAATCTCCTTTTTAACATTTGAAGGCACAACTCTCCTTGAATAAAGACATGAAGTCATTTTCTCTGACACCGTAGATTCTTATTTTTGTTCGAAGAATGAACAACCTAACCAGAGAGCCTCAGACTTGCCTCTCCCCAGCCACTTGGGCCAGCTCCTATGGGGGAATCGCCAAAAGACATGCGGCGCTTACACATTAGCGTCGGCACGGGCCCATACGGTACCGAACAGTTCCGGAATTTGGTTTCACACACAGGTCCGATTCGCCTTTTCGGTGCCGAGGCGACTCTTTTTCTCAGACTTTCTCCCCAGCGGTCAGACTGGGACCGAGGCAACACCACGGACGGAATGGCCGGCTGAAATGATGCCTACCACCTCCGATCTGCGAGAAGAAGGAGCCGGCGGGGGAGGTTCCCGCATGCGCCATTCATTTTGATGCTGGATGCTGTTGCGTAAACATCTGTCTGTAGCACGGTGTGTGTGTGTGTGTGTGTGTGTGTGTGTGTGTGTGTGTGTGTGTGTGTGTGTGTGTGTGTGTGTGTGTGTGTGTGTGTGTGTGTGTGTGTGTGGCACACGGTCATGAGGACACACACAGCAAATTAATAAAATAATGTGGTTCAGAGTCTCCCAAAGCAACACAGCTCACGTCAGCCTTTTGTTTACCTTATGGAGCAGACTTTCCCGTGCGTATTAAGCGCTGCCCACAGGCTCGGGTATTTCCGCATTCTTGAGAAGTCCCTCGGATTTATATGTGAACACTACACCGCCCGTACCAGCCCAAACTCACGTCATCCAGCCCGACCAAACCCCGGCCGTGCCGATGCTAATGTGTAAGCGCCTATTGTCCCTCCAGCGTGTCCTGGGTCTTCCTTTAAGTCTCTTCTTGGTTGAACGTGCCCAGAAAACCTTCCTAGGGCGACGTCCAGGAGGCACCCTAATCAGATGCCCAAGCCACCTTAACTGGCAACTTTCGATGTTGAGGAGCAGCGGGTCTACTTAAAGCCCCTCCCGGAAGACAGAGCTTCTCACCCTATCTCTAAGGAAGACAGACAACCTACAGAGAAACCTCATTTTGGCCGCTGCATCCACAATCTCGTTCTTTTGGTCCCTACCCAAAGCTCCTGATCATAGGTGAGGGTAGGAACGTAGATCGACCGGTAGATCGAGAGTTTTGCCTTACGGCTCTGCTTTCTCTTCACCACGACAGACGAGTACAAGGCCTGCATCACTGCAGACGCAGCACAAATCCGCCTATTAATCTCATGAGATACTTAAACTCATCCACTTGAGGCAGGACCTCATCCCTGACCTAGAGAAGGCATTCTACACTTTTCAGATTCAAGACCATGGTCTCAGATTTAGAGGAGCTGATTATCATCCCAGCTGCTTCACACTCGGCTCCAAACCACTCCAGCGAAAGCTGGAGATCACTGTCTGATGAAGCCAAATGCACAGATTTATGAAAAATAAAAACCACAAAGAAGACATCATGAAGACTTGCTACTGGGTGTCTTGCAAGGAATGACAGAAGCCACGGACCTGAAAGAGAGATTTGGCCTTTTTTTTCTTACAAACCGTGTTTTTGTTGTTTGTTTTTTTCAAACTCAGATTGCTACATTCTCCTTTAGCTCAGTTGTTGATTACACTGTTATTTTTCTGTCTTTCTTACACAATTGCTTTAAATCAAAAATATTTTCCATTTTTATTCCCATTTTTTAAATAAATAATCTAATCTAAAAGACAAACATTTATGCAGAGTTGTACATTTCAATAGACTTAAAGGTTAAAGATGGAACACGATCCATAGCGACATCTAGTGTGTGGAGGCTGTAGCTGCAACAATAAAACCAGGTTTCCAGCCGTCGGGACACCAGTAAATGCTGATTAGTGAAATGTTTTATTTGGGTCCATCTGTTGTAGGCGTCACCTAAAATCACTCTGGTTTAGATCTTTTATGGTCGTTCCTCTTCTGAGAAGTACAACGACATCTTCTGGGCTCAGAAGCAGCTGCTTGAGTCACCGAGTCCTCCATTTTCCACAGTGCCAGTCTTGCTGGCAACCTGCAACAGTGCCATCTATTGGCTGGTAGATGTAAACATAAACCCAGTTCGGTGCCCGTCAAAATAAATATTGCATTTTTTTAAATTAAAATATAGCTTTTAAATTAAATGACCTTCATTCTGCACATCTCTTAACGCCCCGTGGAGGTATTATTATTTTTTTAAATATAGCTTTTTATTAAATAGCATGATATTGAACCTTTAATAAAATCCAAGATTACCATGTTACCGATAAGGATGCATCTGTCTATCAGTTTAAAGATGAAGCATAAAAACCCTGCTGTATCCAAGACAATCTGGGACAAAATTCCTCTCAGCTTATTTTAGGGTTACAGGATTTTGGTATAAAAACAGAAAGTATAAATAACGCTACCTGACAGCAGGACGAGATGTCTTTGAAGTTCTTCTCCAGTACCACTGTTTTACTGTCGGGACTTATGAGGTTTACTTCAAAACGTCCAACCTGTGAAACACAAACCATCAGATCAGACACGCCTCATTCAAACAGAGGCACTTTTGTTTCTCATATTGAGCATTTTAAGGCAATTGGCTGCTCATCGACAGGCATTATACATCCATACACTATAAATCAAGGCCGGTTATTCTGCGTCAGTGAGTTTTCCCATAATCGACCGCTGCATGGAGTTTCATATTGAGCGTTGTGCTCTAGTTTTTAAAATTAGCCTCATGAGGAAAAGGGCAGTGAGTGTGAGGAATGGCAGCTGGCTCACGCTGCAGCCTGCATGTCTTCAATTAAGAAGAAGCCGTGGGCTTTTCCAGAAGACAGGAAAGCTTTAGGTCTGAGATTTAACGCAGGAGCTGCAGCTTTCTTAGGAAAATCAGCGGCAGGTTTGGGCTTTAACTAGCAGCCACGTGCACGTAGAAATGATTTGCAGCAGAGAGAAGCTGAGCAGCATAAATGCTCGAGACTGCTGCTGCATCAATCTCACTGGAAAAAACCCAGATATTCATATTCCACTGCATGCATGGGTTAAATATTATGGGTTGTATTGGTCTGATTCCTGCGTGTCCTCTACCTGGAACAGCATGGTGCGGTTCTTGTCTGAGTCCGACGGCTGGACGTTGTTTGGTGCGCTGGCATGTCTGCGGCGTGTGGCGGGACCCATGATGCCTCCTTCCCCTGGCTTCCTCTGCAGGCTTCCCGCCAGGCTGCTGCAGCGTGTACGGAACGTCTGGGGCTCCTCAAATCCAGAGTCTTCCAGGATGCACTCCGGGAAGGATCCTCGCAGGCTGCTCTGACTGGTACTGCCGGATGAACATTTACCTGCAAAAAGAAATACAAATTTAACCAAGTTACAAAGTTTAAACTGGTTATGTGTCATTTTCTGTACGTGAAAAAGGACTTTCAGTTATTTGAGTTATATGCCTCTAATTAATTTCTTTTTTGAGCTCCTGATAGATTTTTATCTCCACCTTTGTTTGTGTTTTCCACCTCGGGGGGTTCTGGTTCCTCTGTATCCTCATTCACAGCAGAAGACAGAGGATCTCCTTCTCCCCCCATGAGAAACTCCACAGAAGTGTTCTCAGCCGACCCCCGCTGACCGTTGAGGAGTCGCAGGCGCTTACGCTCAGTTTCGTGCTCACGAAACTTATCCACGCAGTCATCAATGAGGGTGGACGAAGCTTTCTTGTGGCCAACTGTCACCTGAAAACCAAACAAAATGTGTTTAAAAAAACACAACTTACATAAAAAAAAACTTCTATTTTGAAATTCTGATACCTGCCTTGCCACAATAAAGTACTTCAAACTTCTGGGAGTTGTAGAAGGCCTCGTCTGTTTCCTGTCTGGGCTTGGCATCGTCCTTCAGAGCGGATTTGGACACATGACGAATACTAGAGATCACCTCAGGGACCTGTGAGCCAAGTGGAAGGAATAAGTGCGACAAAAGTTTACTAAAAAGGAATTTTAGGCAAAGAAAAGCAACAAAGAGTTTTAAAAAAAGCCGACTGTCGCAGAATAAAACCACATAATCCCCCTTCTGTGCATGCTGTAGTTGATTTGATGTGGTGGCCATCTTTATCTGAGTTGATTCCAACAATTAATCCCACAGATTTAAGCAAACATCTCACACAGTGTGTTGAGGATTACTCTTAGCTACTTACACACCAAATCTCAGGTTAAGAAATGTAAATCTGACTGAGTTCTGGCTACTGTTATGTTTGCTCGTGTTAATGATCTCGGTTTGAGTTCAATCAAAGCACATATCAGCTATAAAAGGACTTTCAGACATCCGTTTTTGATGGTTTAATTCTAATCTGTCCTGTGGTTTGTGAGACATTTTCCAGGAAAAAAATATGTGACAGAATCAGGGAAAGTATACCATCACCAGAACAGCTGCTAACGTTTTGTCACCAACTGACAAAACGTTATCGGGAGAAAAATCATCACTTTATGGGACTGAAGAGAAAACCAGAAGAGGACTGGAACAAATCAGAGGCTTGAAGGTGTGTATGTTTGTGTTGGCCTTTACACGGTTTGAGTTTGCGCTAACACAAGCTGATGTGTACCTTGGCAACATATAAAACAACATAAAAAGACAGAGTAAATATGAACTAAAAGGACATGAATTATTTACAATACCTAAGCATAGAATATTTATAAAGGAGCGCTGTGTCTCTGTATATGGATTTAAAATACTGAATAAGCTAGGTAATGTAATCAAGGATGCAAAAACAATATTTACTTTTAAAAAACTAATTAAAATTAAATACTGGAATCATATACGTGCAATTCAATTATATAAAAAATAATAAAAAATAAAGCGTAATAAAGAGATGTGTGTAGGAATATTCATGTGTGTGTGTATACAAATATGTATGTATGTATGTGTTTGTGTATATGTAGTGGATACGTGTGTATGTCTATATGGATATGTATAGATGAAGTATGTGCAAGCATATGGGCATGTGATGCACTTTAATGTATATATGTATGAATAGGTTTATGTGCAAAAATCCTTTTGCTTTTTGAATTATTATTACTATTAATTTTTTTCTTTCTTCTTTACAAATTGAACTCAAGTTAGCTAACCAGTCAAGCAATCACTTTGTATAGGCTAATTTATAATTATTGTTATTTCACTGTAAAAATGTCATTTTAGTTTAAAAGAGGCAGATAACGTAAGTTTTCTTCTTTCTGTTCCCTTTTCATTTTCTTGGTTTGAGAAACCTCAATTTATTTGTTAGTATTGTTTTTTTCTATTTTAATAATAAATGAAATAAATTTAAAAATAAATGAATAAAAATACATGCATCCAGAAAAAAAAACACACACACACACACACACACAAGCAAAAAGGAAAAATGCTAATCGTTCCATGAGAAATCAAGAAGCACAATCTGCAACGATCCTCACAACCAAAATAACAAAAAAACAAAGAATAAAAACACTTTCGCAGCTAACAGCCACCAAGCTCCACCCGCCGAGGTGCAGCTTTCAGTCAGACGCTGCGTTTAAGACAACAACATGTGGCTTCATCCACTGATACCAGTTATTACAACAGATGAGGGCAGCATAGGAATTCCTGAGCAGCAATATTTAGGATCCACACAGAAGGGAAGAGTTAGAAAACACATCAGGAAATAGACCAGAATAACAGGATGCAACAACAGAAGAAAACAGGAAGTGGTTTAAATTAAACATCCCAACAAAAATCAGACCAAATCCTGATAATTCCTGATTTAGATTACAGTCACACATTTCTCCCAGTGGTTCAGACAGTTGTCTGTAGACTCTTCAGACCAGAGAGGTGGTGCTACTCAGAAATCTCCTCACAAGAACTCTGACCACTTTTCCAGCTGTTTTCATGACCTGTTTTATAGGAATACTTGAAGACTTTCACACAATCGTTTAAGAGCTTGTTTCGAGGGAGAAACTAGTTTCTATAAATGTAGATCACCGGGGTGAAAACACCTGCAGCGCTTAAAATCAAGCTGGTGTAGCCTTTGTGGGAAGAGACACGGCCCAGCGCTGGCGGAGCATTGAGATAACACTAGATCAAGGTGATTCAGGGGCCTTGATGTCTGACAATCACAGCTGTCTGTTGGGTCAACACATACAGAAAAACTCTGCTTCATGCAGCAACAACTCCATCATTTCTTATTAACATAAAATCGTTGTGGTTTAAAACTGGGAGGGTGATCTGTGTTCCTTTCATTTGTCGTGAATGCAGCTTAAATCCAGTAAAAGTGCAAACTCCTTAGAAAGAATCAGGTAAAGGCAAACAAACAGAAAATAGAGGAAAGGTGAAGGTTTTATTTTTCTTCGACATGTAAAGCTGCACTTCAAGCTGTTTGAACTCTCACCCACGACTGCAGGGATTTATCAAACAATAACAGCAACGCTGGGTGTGAACCAGCTCCGTCTCCACAAACGCCCGCTTTGGCATTTAGGAGGAAGTAAACACAAAGATCGTCTTCTTTCAGCTCGGCCTTTCTCCCTTCAGTAGGCCTTAAATCACACTTAGTGGCCTCCTCTAAGAACAACAGTCCAACGCTGGGTTCAGCTCTTCCTCTTGGAAAATCATCTTCAAATGTATTCTACTTAGGAATTCATCTTTTTCCTGAAGAATAATAAGTTCAACCCCAAACCTAATCTTTTAAAAGAATTAATTTGTATTTAATTCTCTAATAATCAAAACCTTAAAGTGCAAAGATGGCTTGTTTCCATTTACATTAAGCATGACTGCAGGTTTAAGACAAACCGGGCTGCTGATTTCATCAACCTTCTTGTGTCAACATTAAACACGATGGCCCTCATGCCAACGCATCAGGAGGTAAAACTGCATGCCAGCATGTGAGGATGAGTGCAAAGTGGTGCAGCTTTTTATTATTTTATGCATGTAAGGTAATTATATCAAATTTGGAAACGACAAAAACAAAATAGTTTGCTTTTTTCCTACAGCTAACTGTAAAATCATGCAAATACATTGTGCTAAAAGTTGACAAATGAGCTACATTTGCTGTTGAGCGGGGAAAATAATTCAAACATTATGAATTATACAAACTGCTTCCTGTGATTTATGAAAGCATGTTTCAGCACGATAAGATCAACCCACTAACGTTACGCTTCTCCAGTGAGACGCTGATAAGGAGGAAAAGTCTGCACCCGTTTTAGCTTCACGGCTCAGATACATTTCAGTCCACATCACCCTGCTCAGACTTGGCTCAAGAGTTGTGTTCCTGTGTCACTGCATGATAAACGGCTCCTGCAGGACGACAGAGGGTCTGTTTTTACACATCAGCTCTAAAGCTGAGCCTGCTTTATGCTCCGAACAAGGCTGAATGATGGAGTTAAAGTTCTGCTGTCTGAGCTGGAAGTCACAGGACTGAGCTGGAGCACATCTGTGAAATCAGGGAGAAACACGTGCAGCTTCGTTTTAACACCATGAGGTGTGGAAGCGTCCACAGCTGTCTGTTCGGTCTGTAAAGGGATCAGTGGCAGCCTTGTGGGGCGATGCAAGGAAGGAAGGAAGGAAGGAAGTTGTTTTGATGCCAAAAAGGTGCCAACATATTAGTGAAAATGGCTCAAGTTTCCACTGTGGACATATTTAAAGTCACACCAGAAGCTCAAAACAAAAAGAGAAGGATAATCAAGTTCAGAATAAAATTTTCTGGCAAATTTCCTTTTTTTTAGGATCTAAATGAATGTTCATAACTGCGGCGTTGAGTCCCTCGCTCAGACGGCTGGTTTGTTTGAGTCTAACTGGTGTTGAAAATGTTTTCACAGACATTTGAGCCAGTGTGATATGTTTTAAAGTGTGTTTCTCTCTCTCTCTCTTTTTTTTTTTTGGTAGCATCAGTGTTTAAAAATAAGAGTGGATGTCCAACAGGACTGATGGGCTAGTCTGGGCTTGGCCAAGACCAGAGAAGTTTGCTGCCAGCTTAAAACCTCCACAATCTCATAAATGTCATAGAAAACATTATTTAATAAACCTTCCCAGGTGATATTAACTATTTTAATGACCATGTGATGCAAAAAACAATGTTTGTGTAAATTATGTTTGCATGAGCTGCTCGGAAGACTAGAAATCATCAAAACGGTTGGTTTCTGGCTGCACTTGGACCAGCTGTTAGGCTATTAGTATCCTTTGTTTATCCATATAAGCTGCTCAGAGAGCCATCTACAGTAAATCAGATGGTAATCATTATTTATGATGTATACACACTTCAAAATGGTGGAGCTTTCCCTTTCAACCACACCTAATTTGTGTTGGTTCACGGCAGCTTTAAAGACTCAAACTAAATGAGGTAGAATTTCAAGTAAAGGAGGCCAAACCTGATTTAAAAACACCAGATTTTCTATGTGACCAACCATGATGACACAGCTTTTCTCAGCATTGACTACAAATGACTTTTTCTGAGAGCAACTAACTGATCCAGATCTTCATTTAACTGATCTTTAAAACATCCAAAGAGCATTTTAATATATTTTTTGTGTTTAACCTTTAACATCATTTTGATCCATGCCAGGCCTCCTCACACAATGCATCCCTGTCATGTCCTCAGCTAAGAATAGATTTGCAAACACGGCTGTCGGCTAAAATCCTGAAGCTGCATTCATTATTTCTTTAGTTTTCAACAATACAACGCCCATCAACAAAGGCTTCAACAGTTTTATGTGACAACAGAACAACCCAAACGTTCCACATGGCTTTCATGTGTTCCTAGCAGCCAAACCAGTTATTGTTGCGTAATAACACTGACTGAGGTATGTTCAAGAAGCCTCTCAAACTGTTAAAAACACCCAAACTTCAGCTGAGAGGCCAGAAATGCTGTTTCCTCTGAGTAACAGACTGTGTGTGAGATGGAAACATGATCCAGCACTCTAGCTAAAAACAAAAACGTGAGCAGATCTGTTTGTGAACATTATTTGTGACGGTTTCCTGTATCACTGGTGCAACTAGAAAAGCACCAGCTAGTGTGAAGCGTCAGATCGGGTTGCAGGCAGAGGAGAATCACGCTTGAACTGCCTCAAATTTCCACACAACCCTCATCTACGAAAACAAAACATGCATGAATGTCACGTTTTTACAGCCATGGCACCATCAGCACCACTGGGGTGAGCTCTTGAGCTCCGGGCCTTTAAACAGAAAGTGAGCCTCAACGTTCAAACGCCGACTTTCACGTTCCTGGTTTTCTGGCCGTTTACCACATCTCAGATTGTTACTCAAGAATGGCTGAGCAGAAAATAAAATGTGCTGACTCGATGCCTGTCCAGCTGTTGTCACAAGAGACATGAACCTGGGCAGTTCCAATCAATGCAACTTCAGATAACACGGGCAAAAGAAAACATGCCACCGAGATCAGAACATCAGCAGTCGTTCTAACAGATCACTCGATGTTGGGCGTGTCTGGTGTTTTGACCAATCTGGCTGGTTTGCACATGTTCCAACGACTCAATTTTTCATCAACTTGAAATGAATGTATAACAGCTAAATTTCACCTTAGATGGAGTTTATTCAGTTATTATCTGCAACCAAAAGGAGGGTGATGATGTTTTTGCGTCTGTCTGTGGATTTCTCTAGTTGAAAACACCTCATGATCCTTTAACTCTGCGATTTTCATTGATATTTGATATAATCATAGCTGAGAGTCATTCATACCGCTAAGTGCCATCAGATCGCACAAGATCATACAATATTTTACAAAACTCCCATTCCACCACATCCCAGAGTTGTTCTATCAGGTTGAGATCTGGTGACTGTGGGGGCCGTTGTAGTACAGTGAACTCTTTGTCATGTTCAAGAAACCAGTTTGAAATGATTGGAGCTTTATAACATGGTGCATTATCCTGCTGGAAGTAGCCATCAGAGGATGGGCACATAGTGGCCATGAAGGGATAGACATGGTCAGAAACAATGCTCAGGTAGCCCGTGCCATTTAAACGATGCCCAGTTGGCACTAAGGGGCCTAAAGTGTGCCAAGAAAACATCCCCACACCATTAAACCACCACCACCAGCCTGCACAGTGGTAACAAGGCATGATGGATCCATGTTCTCATTCTGTTTATGCCAAACTCTGACTCTACCATTGGAATGTCTCAACAGAAATCGAGACTCATCAGACCAGGCGACATTTTTCCAGTCTTCAACTGTCTAATTTTGGTGAGCTCGTGCGACTTGTAGCCTTTTTTTCCTATTTGTAGTGGAGATGAGTGGTACCCGGTGGGGTCTTCTGCATTTGTAGCCCATCCGCCTCAAGGTTGTGCATGTTGTGGCTTCACAAATGCTTTGCTGCATTCCTCGGTTGTAACGAGTGGTTATTTCCGTCAAAGTTGCTCTTCTGTCAGCTTGAATCAGTCGGCCCATTCTCCTCTGACCTCTAGCATCAACAAGGCATTTTCACCCACAGGACTGCAGCCTACTGGATGTTTTTCCCTTTTCACACTATTCTTTGTAAACCGTAGAAATGGTTGTGTGAAAATTCCAGTAACTGAGCAGATTGTGAAACACTCAGACCGGCCCGTCTGGCACCAACAACCACGCCACGCTCAAAATGGCTTAAATCACCTTTCTCTCCCATTCTGACATTTAGTTTGGAGTTCAGGAGATTGCCTTGACCAGGACCACACGAGGCCTGGGCGATAAATCGATTTAATGAATTAAATCGAATTTTTTGTTGTGGGCGATTAAAAAAAGTAAATCAAATTTTTATGTAATAGCAACTTTTTGGCCCCCAGAGCTTCTGTAGAGTTAGTTTCACATAACCGCGACAACAACGTCACAGCACGCACATGAAACAGCAACAGCAAGCGACTCTATGGGCACCGGTGAGAGTGGGAAGTTTGTTCCTAAGAAAAGAATGAAATCATCCGTTGTTTGGAATTGGTTTGGGTTTGCTGCGACGGACAAGGAGCGTGGCACTTTTATACCAAGAGGGTGTTCATGCACTTAATATTCATCTCAGAAATGAGGGTTACATTTGTCTTGCTTGTGAATAAATAAAAAGCAAAATTGGCTTTAGGGTGCTTTACATTCGTACTTATTGCTATTCTTAATAATTGAAGGGGAGAGAGAATCGGAAAAAATCGTAAATCGAATTTTTAAAAATTTAATCGGAGATTTTGTTTCTAGGCCGTATCGCCCAGCCCTAGACCAAACCCCTAAATGCATTGAAGCAACTGCCACGTGATTGGTTGATTAGATAATTGCATCAAGGAGAAGTTGAACAGGTGTTCCAATAATCCTTTAGGTTAGTGTATATATAAACATTTTGTCATTACTTTAACTGCAAGTCATTGCTAACATGAAAAACCTCAGAAACCTAGTTTACTTTAAATATTTTTAAAATACTTTATATGTTTACACACATGATAAATAGGTTAATATGTGAAGTAATATACATTTAGTATTATGAGATGCTCCATAAATCGGTAAGTGATCAGAACTGGCCCAAGTCTAAACATAGAAATCAGATTTTTATATATATATATATATATATATATATATATATATATATATATATATATATATATATATATATATATATACATACATATACATATATAAATGGAAACCGCGTTCCCTCGCCCAGACGTGGGTCACCGGGGCCGCCCTCTGGAGCCAGGCCTGGAGGTGGGGCACGTTGGCGAGTGCCTAGTCGCCGGGCTTTCACCCATGGAGCAGGGGTGGACATACAGTACTAGTTGCCCCCATCTTGGTGCCTGTACGTTGGGGTTTACCCCAGTGAATGAGAGGGTAGCCTCCCTCTGCCTACGTATGGGGGGACGGGTTCTGACTATGGTCTGTGCTTATGCACCAAACTACAGTTCAGACTACCCACCCTTTTTGGAGACCTTGGAGGGGGTGCTGGAAAGCGCTCCTTCCGGTGACTGCCTCATTCTGCTGGGGGACTTTAACGCTCACGTGGGCAACAACAGTGAGACCTGGAGAGGTGTGGTTGGGAGGAACGGCCCCCTGATCTGAATTCGAGTGGTGTTTTGTTATTGGACTTCTGTGCCAGTCATGGATTGTCCATAATGAACACCATGTTCAGACTTAAAGGTCTTGGAACCAGGATACCTTAGGCCGCAGCTCGATGATCGACTTTGTTGTTGTTTCATCTGACCTGCGGCCGCATGTCTTGGACACTCGGGTGAAGAGGGGGCGGAGCTCTCAACTGACCACTACCTGGTGGTGAGTTGGCTCAGATGGTGGGGGAGGATGCCAGTCAGACCAGGCAGGCCCAAACGTATCACAAGGGTCTGCTGGGAACGTCTGGCAGAGTCTCATGTCGGAAGGAGCTTCAATTCCCACCTCCGACAGAATTAACAAAATGTTCCAGGGGAGGCGGGGGACATTGAGTCTGAATGGACCCTGTTCCGTGCCTCCATTGTTGAGGCGGCCGAGCGGAGCTGTGGTCGCAGGATCGTCTGTGCCTGTCGTGGTGGCAACCCCCGAACCCGCTGGTGGACACCGGCGGTTAGGGATGCTGTCAAGCTGAAGAAAGAGTCCTATCAGGTCTTTTTGGCCTGTGGACTCGGGTGGTCACCGAGGCAAAAACCCGGGCATGGGAGGAGTTCGGTGAGACCATGGAGCAAGACTTCCGTACGGCTTTGAGGAGATTCTGGTCCACCATCCGGCTCCTCACGGGGGAAAGCAGAGCGCTACCAACACTATCTATAGTGGGGACGGTGTGCTGCTGTACTGACCTCTACTGAGGACATTGTGGATCGGTGGGCAGAATACTTCGAAGACCTCCTCAATCGCACTGTGATCTTCAGCTTTCGCTGGAGCGGTTCGCAGCCGAGTGTGAAGCAGCTGGAATGAGAATCAGCTCCTCTAAATCTGAGACCATGGTCTTGATTCGGAAAAGGGTAGAATGCCTTCTCCGGGTCAGGGATGAGGTCCTGCCCCAAGTGGAGGAGTTTAAGTATCTCAGGGTCTTGTTCACGAGTGAGGGAAAACTGGAGCGTGAGATCGATAGGCGGATTGGTGCTGCGTCTGCAGTGATGCGGGCGTTGTACCGGTCTGTTGTGGTGAAGAGAGAGCTGAGTCAGAAGGCGAAGCTCTTCATTTACCGGTCGATCTACGTTCCTACCATCACCTATTATCATGAGCTTTAGGTAGTGACCGAAAGAACGAGATTGCGGATACAAGTGGCCAAAATGAGTTATCTCCGAAGAGTAGCTGGGCTCCCCCTTAGAGATAGGGTGAGAAGCTCGGTCATCCGGGAGGGGCTCAGAGTAGACACGCTGCTCCTCCACATCGAGATGAGCCAGTTGAGGTGGCTCGGGCATCTGGTCAGAATGCCTCCTGGACGCCTCCCTGTTGAGGTTTTCCAGGCACGTCCAACCAGGAGGAGACCTAAAGGTAGACCCGGGACACGGTGGAGGGACTATGTCTTTCACCTGGCCAGGGAATATTTTGGGATTCCCCCGGAGGAGCTGGCCCAAGTGGCTGGGGAGAGGGAACTCTGGGCCTCTCGCCTTAGGCTACTGCCCCCGCGACCTGACTCCGGATAAGCGGATGAAAATTGATTATTTTATTTTTTTGGAAATGTTGTTGAAAACACCACTGGGGTGAGGGTGGGTTTCGGTTGCTTATTAAATTCTTATAGCTAAATCGTAATGGGAAAAAAAATCTGTATCTGCAGGTTAGAAATTGGTATTGGCCTTCTAAATCTGAATTGGTGTTTTTTATTTTTTTAAGTTTGGTGGAAGTTTCCTCTTGAACCTCCTGCCTCCTACCTTGTTAGGGTTGCAGGCCTTGAACACGTGACAGGACATCTCAGACTCCGGGTTGTCCGGCTGGCCCCGCAGCAGGTAGGCGAAGTAACTCAGATCGTTGCTGTTGTGGATGAAGCGAGAGATGAGCTGCGCTTTGTGCTCGAAGATAAAAACCGATGAGTTGCTGCTGTTGGACGGGACGCAGCGGACGAAGGGGGGATGCAGCAGCAGTTGAACTTCTCTGGGCTGCATGACGGGGCCGCCGTCGCCCCTCTCGCTCCTCCGGCGGATCTCGGCCACCAGCCACGGCAGCATGGGGAGAGTAGTCCGCCTGTCCAGCGAACTCCAGCCGATATAAGTCAGGACGAAGCGCCTGTCGGACCTCTCTCTCTCATCCCGACTCTCCATGTTGCTCCAGCTGAGCCCCAAACGCGTTCACTACTTGTCAGAAAGACTATCCCCGATCATTCCCTGCAGCACAGGCCACTTGGTTTAGTTTGCAACAGTTTCCATGATCAGATTTAAAGCAACGAGGCTTACATGCACATGTCCTCACCCTACTCCTTCCGCCTGGCTCCCAGCTCCAGCCCTGCTGCAATAACAGGTGAGCACTCCCTGCACAGAAGGCTTCAGTCCCGACGTGCCTGCTACAACGTGGCTCTGGATGGTTCCTGTGTAAACACAAGTCGCACTGAGAAATCGGGGTTTCCTGACGTGCTGAACGTCGCTCCAAAAAGCGCGCAGGGCGGCGCGTTCACGCCGTCCCGCTTCTAAAATTACACGGAAGCTTCAACCAGCACAGTTTTAATCTCCTTTGAATATAATACTGATGCTTGTCCTGAGAAGAGCAGTTGCCTTGCTTCAGATCCTTTCTTCCAAAACGCCTTGGAGGCGGAGCGGCTGACAGCGCGGAGCTCCGCCTCCTCCAAAATCCAGCAGCTGATAAATGGAAAGTGTGTGGGAACAATCTCCAGCCTCTGGAGTAATGCTGTTTCTTGCTTCTGTCTTATATTGTCTGTTAGAGGCTCGTGAATAAGGCAGCAATCTGTTATAGCAGCTTGTGCTGATTTATAGTATCAGAGCTGTTCTAGGGAACTTCATATTCCTAGAACTCCTCTTGTCCCAAAATAGAACCTTTGCCATATATAACCTCGTCTCTGAGGCTGTGGTGGTCGGAGGGACCTCCACAGGGCAGCTGATTATACTACAAACAACTGAAATTGTCTGGACTTTTATCACAGATTTGGGATTTGCAGCTTGGCATTTAAATTGCATAGATTTTATTGAGATGATTATGAATGGTAAATGGCCTGTATTTGATAAAGCGCCTTCTAGAGTCCAGGAACCCCCCAAGGCACATTACAACACTATCAGTCATTCACACACACACATTCACACCTTGGTGAGGATGAGCTACAATGTAGCTACAGCTGCCCTGGGGCGCTCTGACAGAGCACTGACGCCTCCGGTCCCTCTGACCACCACCAGCAGGCAAGGGGGGGTTAAAGTGTCTTGCCCAAGGACACAACTTATGAAAACGAAAGTGAAAAAAGTAGGGCTGCACAATATATTCAGAATATGTTGTCATTAAATGTTTTTAAATTAATGTGTGCAGTATCCATTTAGCAGAGGACTGCTTTTATTCCAGTGGGTGCAATCTGATGGAGTCCTGCAGGACAATCGAACAACCAGTTTAGATGATGGTTGAATGGCTAAAATACAAGCAAAAGCACATTTATTCTGTGTTATTGTGCAAACTTTGTATTAACAGAATGCATTCACATGCATAGTTTTTTTTCACATTGCAAAGCAATCCCATGTAACCAATAATCAATATTCATGGTCTGCAGCCATGAATGGCATGCAGCATGAAGGGCATGCAATCATGGTTCTTGCTTGTGTGCATGTGGAGTGGAGCAATCCAGCAATATATCTGTAAGTAACTGCTAATATATTTACTATAATGGCATTACTTGTTTTGGTCCCAACATGCTGGTATAACTAATATATTTTGCATTAAATAGTTTTTGTTTCATTTGGGTTCATTAAACGAGAACAGCACAAAAGACATACATGTAAGGCAATGCAGCCATTGTTTTGTACAGATGTTTTGTTGCCAGAGGCTAATTTACGAACCCTGTCCTTGTTTTGGACTTTTAGAGACAATCAAACAACAATATTCATAGCAGTTAACACAGCACACACACACACACACACACACACACACACACACACACACACACACACACACACACACACACACACATACACACACACACACACACACACACACACACATAGATAATAGACATCAGCGTTCACAAGTTTGTTTTTGTTTCAACCATTTTTTTCACCTGAGAGTTAAATGTAAAATTTCTGATAGTAGATTGTTCCAGATCTGAGGTCCTCTAAATGAGAACAAGGATTGACCAAATGATGTTTTGGATTTTGGTGGATTGCAGTCTTCTTTGGCTTCTCCTTGTAGCTCCTGTGCTGTTGGCTTTTACATTCAGTCTTCTCACCAGCTCTGGGACAAGGTCATTTAGACATTTGAATGTCAGTTTTGTAACGCAGAAGTTTATAAAGGTTTTAAAACTCAGGAGATTGCACTTCTCCTGTATTTTGGTGCCTAGTCATTGCTTTTTGGTCGAGGAATTTTAGGGCTTGTTTGTATAGAAACATGGCAGGTTGTGAGGATTGCTGTAAAGACTCGATGCAATTTGCTGGGTTCCTTATATAGGAAACTTTTTTCTGATTGGCTTTATGAACTGAATTGTATTGGAATGTTTATTATGTGAAGCGCCTTGAGACGACTCTTGTCGTGATTTGTCGCTGTATAAATAAACTTGAATTGAATTGAAAAGCAGGCACAGCTGGGCAGCTTTTACAGGCAAACATGGCCTTACGAGACGGAAGCAGTTGAGGTTGGTCCTAATGGTTCTGGACACTTTCCTGACGTGGGACTCAAATTTATGATGCAAATCCAAAATAACACCCAGATATTTAAACCCATCCACTTGTTGGGTTTCTTTGTGGTCATTGAAGACAGTGAAGTTGTCCGAAGTCTTCCATTTGATCATAAAACACATTGAGGCAGTTTTGCAGTTCAGGGTCAAAAGGTTATTCTTGAACCAGCGAGACACCCCCACCATCTGCTCATTCAGTAAGTTTGCAGCCTGTTAGGGAGTTTTTGTGGTTAAATAGATGACTGCATCATCAGCACACATTTGGCACAGGACACCTTTACAACTGTTGGGTAAGTCATTGATGTATGGACAAAAGAGTGAATGACCTAGGATGGAACCTTGTGGAACTCCTATTGTACAGTTTTTAATGCATGATTTAATTCCATTAACTTTGACACACTGTTCTCTGTGTTTTAGATATGATTTCAATGATTTCATGAATCTATCAACTTTTCCAATGTGGAGTCAAACCTCATCAGATATCAAAGATTTTCATGAAACTCTAAACCAGTCTATAGCTGTCTGTAAAAATTAAACTTTTTCAGATCTAAGGAAACTGCTTCGACTACATTACTTTGTCTAAAGATCTTTTAATGTTTTCGGTGAGGTAGGAGGTAGCCAGTTTAGTTGCGTAACCTGCTACCCAAACAGTTCTGGGCAAAGTAGCTGATTGTTGCCCAGAAAACCGATTAGCTGCTCTGCTGCTGATTTTTCAATAACTTTGGATGTGGCCAGTAACATAGTGGTTGGTCTGTAGTAACTGACTTGGTCAGGGTCGCCAGCTTTCAGAATAGGAGTTATGAGTCCTTTTTTGAAGTTGTCTGGAAATTCCCCTTTCGTAAATAAGTTTATAAGTTGGGTTATTTACTAGAGCACTGTGTTTCTTTATGAGTTTTTGTCCATGCCAAAAATATCTCTTTGCTTTTGAGTTGTTTTAGTTGGTTGATGATGTCCTGGGTTTCACTCGCATCAGTTTTGCTGAGAGTAAAAAGATCTGCTGACTCAGTGGCCGGGATCTCCATGAGGTTTGAAATTAGATGCCGACTCCTCTACTGAAATAATGAAGTAGATTTTTAGAGCATTTGCCATTGTCGTCGAGTCAGTTATGTTTCCGTGAATGTTCAGTCGAGTCAGTTGATTGCCACAAACTTCATTGACGGCCTTTTATTTTTGTGGGTTTTATTCTAAATGATAAAAACATGAACTTGGTTAATGGGTAAAATGCAGTTCTAGGCCTTTCATTAGGAAAGTTTCTTTGGAAAATGACATAACGTTTGTTTATTTCCCATTCCGCCTTTGCCCTCCAAGCTGTCTTAACTGACATATCCTTTCTCCAGAAATTTGTGCAACCCACTATTTTTTTTATTTTCGTACACTGAAAACCAACTCAGTTCCCAAATGAAGTCATTACGAAACTTAGTTACATGAGAGAAGAGGATATTTATACATCAGCTTCCTGCTGTGGGGTCTAATAAAAATAGCCTCCCATCCATCCATCCATTTTCTGAACCCGCTTTGTCCACGCAGGGTCGCGGGGTGGCTGGTGCCTATCTCCAGCGGTCAACGGGCAATCAGGCGGGGTACACCCTGGACAGAGAGCCAGTCCATCGCAGGGCAACACAGAGACACATAGGACAAACAATCATGCACACACACCCACACACTCACACCTAAGGACAATTTAGACAGACCAATCAACCAGTCATGTTTTTGGACTGTGGGAGGAAGCCCGAGTACCCGGAGAGAACCCACGCATGCACAGGGAGAACATGCAAACTCCATGCAGAAAGATCCCAGGCTGGGAAGCGAACCCAGGACCTTCTTGCTGCAAGGCAACAGCTCTAACCACTGCACCACTGCGCAGCCAAAATAGCCTCCTGTTTAGCTAATTAGGGGCGATTTTGTTCCATTTTGCTTTTAGATATTTACAGGATTAAGAGTGAAGTAATAGCTAGAGTTCTGTGTTATTCCATGAAAACTCAAACCAGTTAGATTTTAGCAATGTTTTTATTTGATTTCAACATTCAAACTGGAACATTCAAGCTAGAAGTGTAGAGAGCAATGTATGATTCTATCATAGGCCATGGCATCTGCATTTTCTTTTTTATTGTTTGTTTCTTGAATTGTTTTTCTTTTTATAAACTTTTTACTTACATTTTATCATCAAAACTGATGAAACCTTTCAGATCAGAGGTGAAACATCTTTTAGGAACAAGGAAGAAAGTCCACTTGTCTCCTATCCAAGCACTCGGGATCATAAAATTAATGTGAGTTCTGTATAAAAGGCATGAAAAGCTCACTTATTTAGGTTACTGTCTCTTCACTAGCCATCTTAAACTTGCAACAGAAATGTGGTGTTTTTTTTACTTGTTTTGAGCCCAATTTTGATTTGAAAGGGGAATTTAATGCACAGAAATTCCAACAAACGTACCAGAATTCCACCAATAACTATTTCATAGATCTTTTAGAGTGAGGATGCGCTGCACAACCTTAAACTCATGGATACTCTAGAATTACAATTCAAAAATGCATTGAGTCATTGTATTTTTCTCCTTCCTGTCCTCATGTAACCCCTGGAAAACTACAAGCTGAGAGTTGACATTTATAACAAGTTACATTGGTATTTTGAGACAGTCGCAGCAGACAAACACACACGAGTCAAGCTGTGTGTAGGGTTAATAACTGTGACCACTCACACTTAGGTGTGCTCACAGTTTATAATCACCATCATCTCCTCCAGGAGTTGAAAGAGAAGGACAAAAGTAAATATCAGAACTAAGACAAATAAATTAGAAAATAAATCACAATCCTGATAAATCATCTTTGATCAATCTGTCCAGAGCAATATTCAGCAAAACGGGAAGTGAGCTGAAAGATCAGCAAGTGTCTGGACCAACTCATGTAAATCTGTTGTCACACCCTGAAGCAGAGCAGTGTGACTTTTAACGACCAGAACAAAAAGAATAAACGTGTGCAAAGTGAACATAATGTTCTGCAGAGCGCCATGATCTCTTGTGACTCCAGACCTCTGAAGTCTGTTCAGATGATAAACAGAAGAGTTAATGAAAGAGACACATTACAATAAGGAGGACAACAAAGAAGGTCTGATGCACACGAGACATTGGATCTGAATCTATCCAGCCGTCTGCCCTTGATGATGTGTCAGAATCTGCCAGCAGTATGAAGATTATTAGCTTGGTTATCAGGATTGCAGTCCAAACTCATTAGTGGAAGCATGTCCATTGCAGAACCCAGTGGGCCTGCAATCAACACCGCCCAGTCACAGGTTATCCAATTATTTCTATTAACTGTCATGTTACAGTAAACAAAAACAAGTTTCATTTGTGCTAAGCATGACAAATGAAAATAAAAACAACTGCTTGGGAAATCACAACATCAGCTGCTAAAGTGTGGATTTTCTTTGTCTCAGTTAGCTGCAACTGACGTTTACCACTTGAGGGTACACTGACACATCGCACGTCTAAATATAAAATGTTTGCTAATAAAGAACTGTTAAAAAAGCTTTAGAACGACTGTTCGAGTACCTCTAGAACGGGGTGTCAAACTCATTTTAGCTCAGGGGCCACATTGAGAAAAATCTAGTCCCAAGTGGGCTGGACCGGTAAATTAAAAACAACTTCAGATTGTTTTCTTTGTTTTAATACAATCGATATAAAACAAGGCTGGAGCCTGAGGACAGTGTATCCAAAATAGTACAACACCTGAAGTGTACTTGAAAATTTGAGAAAATAAATAAATAAAACATTCCTTAGTGATTCAAAGAGCTTACAGATCACATGGCTAGATCAGTTTCATGCAGCACTTAAGGTATATTTGACTCATTTTACTTTACATCTTTTAGCTTTCAGCAGCACATCAATATCAGAAGTCACATCCTGAGTGGCAGCCAACTTCAAGTTCTTGTGTGAGCCTTGAGAGCAGCTTTATTTTATTTATACTCATTACAGAGAAAACTTGCTCACAAAGATAAGTTTATTTTCACTCTACATTGTAAAGTATGAAAATAAAGTTTACACAACCATCTCGCGGGCCGTATAACCTGTATGCGGGCCGGATATTTGACACCCCTGCTCTAGAAGGACACATCACACTGCACTGGCATTATCTCATAATAATCCATCCATCCATCCTCTTCTGCTTAGCCAGAGTTGGGCCGTGGGGCAGCAGCCTAAGCAGGGAGGCCCAGACTTCCTTCTCCCCAGCCACTTGGACCAGCTCCTCTGGAAGAATCCAAAAGTGTTCCCTGGTCATTCGAGAGACATAGTCCCTCCAGCGTGTTCTGGATCTTCCTTTTAGTCTCCTCGCGGTTGGAAAACCTCACCAAGGAAACGTCCAAAATGCATCCTTACCAGGTGCTCGAACCATCTCAACTGGCTCCTCATGATGTGGAGGAGCAGCAGATCTACTCCAAGCCCCTCCCGAATGACCGAGCTTCTCATCCTATCTCTAAGGGAGAGCCCAGCCCCCCTGCGGGGAAAATTCATTTTGGCCGCTTGTATCCGCGATCTTGTTTTTCAGTCACTATAAGCTCCTGACCATAGGTGAGGGAAGGAACGTAGATCGACCGGTTAATCGAGAGCTTCGCCTTACGGCTCAGCTCTCTTTACCACGACAGACCGGTACAACGCCCACATCACTGCACCAATCCGCCTGTCGATCTCACGCTCCAGTTTTCCCTCACTCGTGAACAAGACCTGAAGATACTTAAACTCCTCCACTTGAAGCGGGACCTTATCGCTGACCTGGAGAAGGCATTCTACCATTGTTCGACTCAAGACCGTGGCCTCAGATTTAGAGGAGCTGATTCTCATCCCTGCTGCTTCACACTGATGTGAACCGCTCCAGCAAAAGCCTGAGATCACATTCTGATGAAGCCAGGACATCAACTGCAAAAAGCAGAGACCCGATCCTCAGGCCACCAAAACGGATCCCCTCAACACCTTGGCTGTGCCTAGAAATCCTGTCCATAAAAGTTATGAACAGAATTGGTAAAAAGGGCAGCCTTGGCGGAGCCAAACTCTCACCGTGAACAAGCCTGACTTACAGCTGGGAATGTGGGCCAAGCTCTGACACCGGTCATACAGGGACCTAACAGCCCGTATCAGAGAGCCTGGTACCCCATACTCCCGGAGTATCCCCCACAGGGCCCCCCGAGGGATGAATGCATTCTCGAAACCCACAAAACACATGTAGATTGATTGGGCAAACTTCCACACATCCTTCAGGACCCCTCTAAGAGTATAGAGCTGGTCCAGTGTTCCACAGCTAGGAGGAAAGCACTGTTCCTTCTGAATCCGTGGTTAGACAATCTGACAGAACGTCCTGTCCAGAACCCCCGAATAGACCTACCTTATCAGGGAGGTGCAGAAGTTTGATTCCAATAATAATACTTATTATTGTTGTTGTTTTCCAGTTGTCATGTTGTGAGGTAAGTGTCTAACCCACGACACACAGAATCAGTTCACAGACGAGGGTGAGAGTTCAAACAATAATTTATTAAGGGAGAAACTAAAGGAGCAGCATAAAAGTGGCTGAGTTCTTCTGACTGGGATCAGGTGCAGGAGTCTGCAGACAAAGGGAGTTTAGGTCCAGCTCGAAAATACAACAGAGGGTTTTTGTGGGTTTTAGAGGACTTACAGTCTTGAGGCGTAATGACTCAAGAGAGGGAAGGTGGTCCGGTCTGGGTGGAAGAAGCTTACTGGGAGTAGGTAGGAGGTTGAGGGAGCTGAGCATGAAGATAGTTCAGATCCAGGTGGGTCTTGGTGGGCTGCTGGAGGTGGGTTGGCCAGGGACGGGCTGAAAAACGAGCAGTAAGTAGAGGTAATCCAGAGTTCAGTCGGTCAGAGATGGGAGTGGAGGGTTGTCTGGAAAAATTGTAAAAGGTGATCAAGCATGCAAAAATCCAAAACCAAACTCAAAGAAATTCTCAAAGACTAAAATACTCAAATGCAAAAATTCTCAAGGAGGCCGTTAGGAGGTACCCAGGTAGAGTAATCATCCAGTGAAATGATGGCGTCTCTTAGCTGCTTAAATACCCCCTGGCCGGCTGATGAGCTGATGATCTGCAGAGAATGGCAGGAGAAAATGCGGACCGTGTCAGCAGTAGTAGTACCATTATTTTTAGTATTATTACGGTTACACATAAAATATAAGTTTTATTTGGTTCATTTTTTAAATATGCATCAAATTAAGTGACCCACAATTGTTTGATGGAAATAGAATTGTTTCTGGATTTCTCCAGCATCACAGCGACATGTGAAAAAGTCTAAAGCCAGAAAATTAATGTTATATAATTTAATTTGAATGAGAAATCATTAAAATTAAGTTTTAATTGAACCTATAAATTTATTTACATCGATTTCATTGTAATAGTGGGAAAAAATTGTTTTTGGCACTATTGTAACGCTTTGCCACAATTTACCACAACCCTATTAAACACACAACAGCGCCCTCATCTGGCAGTATTTTTGTAGCGCTCACAAAATATTTTCTAGTTAAAAATTTTGTTTACTTTCAGTTAAAATGACAAACATCGTTATTATTGCTTTACTTTAATAACCAAATTATTCAATGGCAAAAAAAGAGCAGAACCAGATATATTTTTCATTTTTCTTAATTTATCTGTTCTATTTTCTTTTCGCCACGCCCATAAACCTGGAATGGTCCACTCAGGGTCATGAAGAGGGGATTTCATTGAAAAATAGTTTGTTCAAAAAAACTTTCATACTCTTGATTGACATTAAAATAACAAGTATGACATGGCCTCCAAATAGTGGAAGCATTCCACATAGAAAATCAGTTATGTCATGAATAACGTGCGTTTAAAAGCAGTTGAAGGAGTTAAAACGCTCCTGCGCGTTTCCACCGAGTCTCTGAGTCCTTAACGGGCACGGAAGCGAACCCATCTGTCAAATAGATTTTAATAAATCTGACTCAAACGCTCGTTTGGCCGAAACAAAACACAAAACGGTACTTAACCATGGACTCTCCACGCTGGCTGCCTTTGGAGTCAAACCCAGAAGTACGTAGCATCGTTTCTTCCCGCCTACATTATTTTGTTTAAGTCATTCATTCGTCGGGATGCTAATGTGTTGTTAGCATAGAGAACAAAAGCTAGCTTCCGTCTGTTGTGGCTGTTTTAATATTAAATTATTATCTTCAGTAACTTTTTCTTTTGTGTCTTGTTACTTCAGGTCATGACTAAGGTACGTGCTTCATTTTGAGTGGATTGAACTGTGGTGAGGTGTGAGTCCATTAGCATTGATGCTGTAAAGAGTTTTTCTTACTGTAACAGATTAACATGAAACTAAAGCAACAAAACGCTTATATTAATAATCCTGTAAAAATGTAATGAAATGCAGCTGTAATTCTTAGTGCAGCATATTAATTTATAGTTGCTTTTAGCTTTTGTTGGATTTTAATCTAAATTTATATCATATGTTTGACCCACAGTAAAGCTGTTCAACCAGTAGAGCTAAAATATCTGCTATGATCTGATGTTACTTCCTCCTGTACACAAACTAGGTTGGCAAACCATCATCAACATTTACTTTTATTCAACACAATCGTTTAGTATGATTTTGGTTTTAATGTTGGTTTCCTCTAATAGGATTTTTTATTTATTAATATTTTTTCATGTTGTTACTTTTAGAATTGGGTCTTTGTGTTTTTAAAATCATTATATATAATAAAAACTGTGTTCGAATTTTACCAATATGCACACGCCTTAGTGTTACGCAGTGTCCTTCATTTTAACACCATCCCTGGTCTTAACAAAACGGGGGCTCGTCTGGGATTTGGACCCGGGTTCTCTTGCGTTTGTGAGAATTAGCAATCATAATTCCATAATATACCTGATTCTAACAGCAGCTTTTGGTGAAATAAATTTAAAGCTGAGTAAATGACCTTTTTAAATCAGCTGATTAACCTTATATACAGGTATAAACTAATATTTTAGAAATTAGGTTTTGTTCATGCACAGATGGATTCAGCATCCAAAAGCTGAGCTACAAATTAGATAATGTTATTTAATAAACATATATTGGCTACATACAGTTTAAATATTGGACATTTGAAGAAGTTGTAAACATCTTCGTGTGGAGCAGTTGTTTGTAGTTAGTCAGAATTAACTCTTTTTACTTAAAACTCAATCTAGTTTGTGAGCTGTTTGGGTCTGAGACCAACCTGGCAGTTTGGGGATGTGTATGGACTGGATCCAGAGCTTCTCAGCTTGGTACCAAGACCCGTGTGTGCAGTGCTGCTCCTCTTCCCGGTCACAGAGAAGGCATGTATCATTGTTGTCATTGGCTTTGTCCATTAAATAAACCCAATGAATGTGTTCACCCTGGATTTTCATTGCAGTTCTCTTGTTCACTCTTCCTTCTTCTAAGCTGAGTCTCATTCTGTCCTGCTCGGAACTTAAGATTGTTACCTCCTCACGCTTAGACTACTGCAACTCACTTTTCACCTGTCTGAACAAAACCTCCCTGAACTGTCTGCAGGTGGTTCAGAAGGCCTGTGCTCGACTTCTGACCAAATCATCAAAGTACGCCCACATCACCCGCTACTCCTCCAGCTCCACTGACTGCCATTCAACATCAGGGTTCTTTTCAAGATCCTGGTTCTGGTTTTTAGGACCTTACATGGACAAGCACCACCATACGGTGGTGATCTGCTTACACTAGGGGTGGGAATTGATAAGTTTTTATCAATATCAGTTGCATTGTGGATTCAATCTATCAATCCAATTCCTCATCAGTCAACTAAAGTAGTTCAATTGGTGGCAAAAAACTAATTGCACACGGCCTCCTGCATTGTAGCTGTCAGTTTATTTATGATAAATAATAAACTGTACGTGTATCGGTTAGAAAGATCTTTCCAAATGTTCTCCTTTATGCTCCTTGTGAAGGCAGTCATCTTCTTATTCGGTGTTGTGTTGCTGTAGCTTTTGCAGAGTGGGAGAAATCTCACCACAGATCAGATTTTAGTCTCTGGAGTCTGCCAGTGTGGACTTGTATATATGTATGTATGTAATATATATATATATATATATATATATATATATATATATATATATATATATATATATATATATATATATATATATATATATATATTAGTGCTGTGAAAAATAACGCGCTGATTTAGTTAATGTGAAATGTTTAATGCATAAAAAAATTTACGTCATGCAGTTTTTTTTTTAATTTTACGAAATCCGACACCTCAAACTCTTGAGCGGCTCTGAAGGAGGGGGCAGCATTGCGCTATGCTGGTGTCTGACCTGCTGCTGGAAATGATTAGAAGCAGCAGCAGCAGAAAAGAGAAGGAGAGGAAAAGCTTGCTAGCATGGACAATGCTGTCCGTGGAGCGCTGTCTAGATCGGTACAAAGCAGAGCCCAAAATGGATATTGGACACTGTCCATTACAGTGGTGGTTGAAGAGAGAAGAAGCACATTCCAGACTGGCACCTGTTGCATGCAAGTACCTGTCAACCCCTGCAACCACAGTGCCTTGTGAGAGATTATTTTCACTCTCAGGTCACGTCGTCGGTGCGCTCCAGGCAGCTGCGTTCAGCGCATGGTCCATTCTCAAAGTGGTGCAACCAGAAAACTTATTAACCCACGATCGTTCATGTCCGCACATGTTCTCTACTTTCTGTCTTATTTATGCCTGAAGCGCTCTGCTACTGCGGAGCTCATCACCTGTGCTGCAGTGATTTCACCTCACTGATGCAGCATCAAAACGCGCTCTCCGCTTTGTGGTCAGGAGATCCCTTTGATCAGCGCAAAAGTAACATGAGGTGAAAAAGTAATAATCCAGGCAGCAGATTTTCTGGAGAGTTTAGAGGAGATGCAGGAAGATGAGAGACAGACAGGTCAGGAAATAGTTAAATAAAAACAAAACAAAGTGTTGAAAAGTAAAATGTAGGTAGATTTATCTCCACTACACGTTTTTACCTGTATAAAACAATAAGTTACACACATGTAATATGTATACATCTGATATAATTCAGATCACCTTCAAAACTCAGTCACACACCCAGGGCCGTTTCAAGGCATTCTGGGGGCCAAGGCAAAACAGAACATCCCCACTATAGCTGGGCTCCCCAGAAGCCTCTGTGTAATCCAAACCCTGTCTAGGAGTGTTAATTATACAGTGTTTGTAAAAAACCCTCAGACATTACTGACATGTTCTAATATTATCAGATGGAAAAAGCAAATTATCAGACATGCTGTCTCATCTGCTTCTTTTCTAAACTTGCAAAAAGTAACAAAACCATTTGAAAGCCACTATTTGTGGATTCTCTGGAAGTTTCCATGGAGTGTGTGACAACTTATTTTTTCATTGAGAAATATAAAGTTGGAAAAAAGTGTAAGAGCAGCCAGGCTAATGATCAGAAAAATTGCGATTAATCACAATTGATTATAAAAATAATTGTTGTGATTTAGTTACCTGCTGTATTAACAGGAGAGGACATACAAACATCACTGCTGCTGCTGTGTTTAAATTCAGTAGTCCAGAGCGGATCAAAACTCGCCACTAACTCTAAGTTATTGTGTATTTTGTGCCCAAATGCTTTTTCCTTCCCTTGATGAACTATCTACTATGCAATTATTGCAAGTTACCCAGTTAACTTTTCTTGTAAAGCATAACCAAACTTTAGAGTCTTTGTGCCGCTTAGACACCATGTTTCCTGCTTCCGTAAGCTACGCAACCTGCGCGGTGACGTCATTTGCGCGGACTGGAATTGATAAGAGGAATCATTTTCAATAGTGGTGAACAATTCATAGGGATTGAAACTATCAGAACCGGTTCTCAACAAGAATCGTTTTTTTGATTCCCAACCCTACCCTACACCCCCAGCAGGTCCCTGAGGTCCAGTGACCAAAGCCTATTGGTTGTGCAGCACCAGGCTAAAGGCCAAAGGTGACAGATCATTTGCTGCTGTGGCCCCCAGACTCTGGAACTCTCTCCCCCTGAGCATGAGATCAGTGGACTCGGTGGACTCCTTTAAAAAGCAGCTGAAGACTCACTTGTTCAAGCTGGCTTTGGTGTGACCTTCATCCCCACCCTGTTTTTATTCTGCTCTTTCTACCAACTCTGCCTTTCTGAGGATCCACTGATTTCCCTCTTTCCCTTTCCTTACATTTTTTATCACAATTTTTTTTTCTCATTTTAACCATATTTAACCATTTAAAAACCTTTTTTATATTTTGAATTATTTTGTTCTTGTGAAGTGCCTCATGATTTATCTTGAAGCACTATATAAAGGATAATTTCCTTTCTTGGCAACGCAGAGGTGTTGAATGTTATTAAACAAGGTTTTATTGTCCGTTTACTTCTCAGTATGAAGCATTTAAGCAAGAAGAGGAGGAGAGACTCAAAGGCCAGGGACAAGAAGTCTCCCCTGATGTCTACTTTGTCAAGCAAACCATTGGGAATGCTTGTGGAACGATAGGATTAATTCATGCAGTGGCAAACAACCAGAAATACCTGGAATTTGGTGAGTACCAAAACAAGAACAAGCAAATATCTACAAAGACCTCATTTTACCCATCAGCCATGTTTGTAGCGAGAGAGTGGTTATTCTATAATCAGAATCATAAAGTTACTGAGTCAGTTATTCTTACTCCCCAGAGCCCAACTCTCCTCTTCAGAAGTTCCTCGAACAAACATCCAAAATGACACCTGAAGAAAGAGCTGTGTTCCTGGAGAAAGATGAGGTGAGACGGCCAGGATGGTGGAGACGGGGCACTCCGAATACAGAGAAAGATGTCTCAAAGAAAGCTGGCGTATTACGATGCTCTAGATTATATTTATATTTGCCCATGAAATGGGAATGCATTTGTACAGTAGCAGCTGTAGAAAGAACTGTTTCTCTTCTGCAGAGTATACGCGTCACACATGAATCCAGCGCACAGGAGGGACAAACTGAGGTTTGTAATTTTACATATTTAAAGTCAAATATTAACATTTTAATGTCTTAAATCTTAAAAGTTGTGTTTTTTTATTATCGGTACAGGCTCCAAGTTTAGATGAAAAAGTGAATCTGCATTTTATAGCTTTTGTGAATGTTGGAGGACAGTTATATGAGCTGGGTGAGTTTTACCATCAGAACTTGTGTCAAATTCAAGCAAACGTTGTTAAAACGCCTGATTTATGATGTGTTTTTGTACTTTTATACCAAGATGGACGGAAACCTTTCCCGGTTGCTCATGGGAAAACTACAGAAGATTCTTTCCTTGAGGTATAACAGGTTAATAATTATGGTTTGTTAAGTTATCCAATTAAACTGACCGGAGTTTAATAAAAAAAAATCTCAATCTCAATACCACCAAATTCAACAATTTTCTCAAACAGTCAAATTAGTTTGTTTAGGAGGCTGAAACGGCGTCTTGGAGTGGAACTAAAGGGAGTTATTTGTTTTCCAGGATGCTGTGGAGGTTTGTAAGATCTTCATGGCCCGTGATCCTCAGGAGGTTCGCTTCACCATCATTGCCCTCTCCAAAGATTAATTCTGAGGAAACAAATTCAGTCCATGAAAGCAAAAACATGACTGCCAAACATTCTTAAGTGCTGATTATTCTGTAATTCTGCTTGAAATGTCAGAACACCAGAGATGGTATTTAAATGAGTTGAAGTGAAAGTGTTCATCAATTGTAAAGCCAATAGAAACTTGACATCACAGTGTGTTTGGTTACGTTCTGTGTTACAATCCATCACATTACTCTCACTGGATTGTTGATGGTCTGATCTGTTCATTTAAGGCTTTAATGTCACAATATCCAGTGAAGGTGCCTACTTTTTTTGTGATGATTACAAAATCTGTCAAATAAAAGGCGTGTTTATTAAACACATCTCTTGTGGATCATTCTCTATTTTCTAATCGTGCATCTTGTTCAGACTTATACGGAAGACAGTTGAAGCTAAGTCAAAATAATACAGATTTAACTTGGTGATGACTGGGAAATCAGGGTGTGACTTGTCTCCCTTTTAGGATTTAACAAGGAGGCACTTAGATGCTCCCTAATATCCCCCTCAGCTGTGATCTGTTCCACACAAAGGAGAAACACCAAATGATCATGTAGGGTGTTTGTAGCTCACAGGTCAGAGAAAGACTTGGTTTGGGTTTTAATAACACAATGATTTGGACAGATTGATGCTGGAAGGGCAATCTGAATATAAATATATTGATAACCAGTTGGATCATTGCCACCTTAAATCTATTTTCACCCCTGACCCCTGATGGGCTTTTTACATGGTCATGCATAACAGGGTTAATAAAATAACACAAGTAAAGTGAGTCACTGATAGCCTTAATTCTGTTGTAATAAATTATTTAAATTTCTGATTTTGTTCTGCTTTTATCCCCTGAACTTGAGTTTTCTTTAACATTGTTTTTATCTCCATTGGTTCTTTTTTTTTTCTCAAAATAAATAATTTTCTGATAAAACATAACGAATGTAAAATTTTTACCGAATCTCTGAATCATAATATATAATTGAAGAAAACCAACATCATCACAAGAGGAGTCGGGCTCAGTCAGGTTATAATTCATAAACATTTATTTGTTGAGTTATAGTTTGTTGTGAAGCTGAATGATGCATTTTACTTTGAAAGGGGAGGAAACAAGTAAAAAAAAAAGTTTAGATTTGTGCATTTCCGTATTTGTCCATTGGGTAGCGCTGCAGAGACGTTCTTCCTCCGAAAGTTATCTCAGGTGTTCCTAACTTTGTTTCAGCGAGGAAACCTTTTCTGTGTTTGGAGTCCTGAAATTCACGTTGTAGGATCCTAAACCTTTACTCGAAAGGACGTACTTTAGTTAAAAATGTTAAATTTAGTTAGACAGTTGCGCACCCACCTGCTCACGTAGCCAAGGAGAGGATTATCCGTAAACCAGAAATCAAGGCTTTGTTTTCACCTGAAAACCTCGGAAGGATCGGTATTTGGCCCCCTGGATGTATCCCACCAACCCCTGGTCCCTCACTCTGGAGCGTTAAACCCAGAAACGGCTGCTCTTTCTCATTTTTACGCGTGGGTAAAATCTGCCTGAAGGTGGATCAGACCGAACTAAGCCACAGGTGTGTCGGATGAAACAACAGGTAGGCTACAGCTGGGAAGTGATGCAAACGGAATTCATTAGTCTACTGTTCACCTTGCATTCACTCAATCATGAGGAGAACAATAGGAGGCATTTCTGACGAATGAGAGGTGTGATACATGCTCCCAGCCTTGGAGTTGACGCGTTTTAAGTGCGGTTGCTATTGTTGCATCTTTTATTACCACCGGCCCACTGGGAGCAGAGCAGGTCCAGAACTGGGGGATACTGGTGATGGAGTGGCGTGAGCAGTCCTCTGTCAGCTGTGAAGAAGCCTACTTTGAGGCGCAGAGATGGATTGAGGTGAGTTCAAACTTTTCTTACACTCCCCAACAGACACAAAACCTCTTAAATGTAGTTTTTGTGAGTGGATGAATTAACATCTGGTACTTGTATTTTTTTGTAAGTTGATAAATTGTTGAAATTTGCTCCTATGAGAGCATATTTCCTCGCGAGAGATCTGTTATGGATGGCTTTCCCTTCTAAATATGTTACCTTTTGACCTCATCATGTCTTACTTAGAAAGCTCCAAATTAACCTAAGTACACTCCCTTATCTCTTCAGAGTACAGGCACATTGCTTTAATCTCATTCATCATTGTGTCTTTTGTCAGATCCTGTCAAGACCGGCTCATTGGTTCTTATTTATGTTTCTGGAGCTTTGTTCCTCCAGTTTCAGGCAGGCAGATAGACACAAAATAACTAACGCTACACGTCTGAGCTCTGTGTTCGCTACAAAAGCAGATCAAAACACTTTAGCTTCACTGTTCCTTCCGTTTGGACAGACTTTCGTTGAGGGGCTTATGGGAGTTTGGATTGTACAACTAAAGCAAGAGAAAAGTCGATCTGATTCGCTGGTGTGACGCTATCAGGCTTTCCTGTGTCTCAGTTCCTTAAGAGTAGGACATTGAACCTTTGCAGACGATGTGGTGCTGTTTCTTTAAAGGCACAATGTGTTAGCCTGGCAAGCCAGACTACATAAATAAACATTATTTAGACTGGCAATGCTCCATTGATGGCTCTTGTTGTGGGGCAGGGTAAACCGTTTATTTATTTTGTTTATTTATTGTTTTCAAACAATCTCCGCATGCTACAGGACAGTGAGCAATGTGACGTACTCACCACAACGGATGTCGGTAAATGTGGAAGTCCACTGTTAAAGAAGGCAAAAATACATACATTTTCTGAATAAAGGACTGAAATACATCTTCTCCTGATTCTAATAAAGCCTAATTCCAAATAGTTCAAAATTGATAGAAAAGCCGTTTCAAACAAGCTGTCACCATCTTGTTCCACTCCGTTGCATCATCCCGCCCACAAGACGAATAGAGGCCCCTGAATGGCCCACAAAGCAGATAGAGTGCTGTGATTGGCTAGCCAGAATGCTGCTAGGGGCTTGCGGAGGTTCCAGTGGAGCGTTCTTAGACCAAAGCAAGAATTTGGTCTGGTTCACTAGGCTAATTCTGAGTAGTTTTTATTATTAATCTTTGGAAATTAGGGTTGTCACGGTAACCGGTATAGCGGTAAACCCCGGTAAAAAAGTTGACAGTAAAAATAACCGTCCAGTTTTTAAAAAACTATATTATCTCGGTGGGTTTACCGTGGCCGCGGTTTCGGCGCGATGACCCTTACCAGCCACCGTCGCTTCAGCTGAAGTTCCCGCGGCGCGCACACGCACTTTTTAATTTGCAACGGCACCAAAACGTTGAAGCTGAAATAATGGCCGAAGGAGGAGACGGCAGCGCCCAGGACATCCATCAGCCCCCAAAGAAGACTAAATCGGAAGTATGGACATATTTTGGATTTCTGAAAAATGCTGAGGGACAGCTAATAGAAGACTGCTATCCCGTTTGCAGAACGTGCAGGAAACAAGTGTCTGCAAAAGGCAGCAACACTTCGAATCTAATGGCACATCTGCGTGACCATCCCCCACGTCCCTACAGCCAGTGCAAGGTAAGTTAACATTAGCATTTTAGCTTAAATGCATGACGTGAGGACTTTTGGTTGAGGGAGAATGCAACGAGTCACTATATACTGCAGCCGCAGCGTCCTCTGCCAGCATTTAAACCGTGTCACGGACACCCTGTTGCTGGATGAAGCATCGTATTTGTTGATGATGAAGAGAAATATACAATTAGTTCCTTGTCATTGATTTGTTTACTTATTCAATGCCATTTATACTTGAACATTTGGATTTGATTACATAGTGTAGTAGTTATTTTAGTAATTTGTTTAAAGTGGCTATTTGTTTTAAATACATATTTTTTTAAGGTTGACTTGTACAGTGCTCAAGTCAAGTGTGGACTGTTTTAGATTTTCATTTTGATAATGAAGAAAACAAGTATATGAGAAAACAAGTGGTGTTTCTTTGATTTGTTTACATATTGTTTATGTTTTGAATGTTTGGATTTGTATAATTTAAACCTGCACTGACTACTGTAACATGTTCCAGAAAAATAAGCTATTTGTTCCTTTACTTGTGAAAAGTTGCACTTTTGCTAAGGCTTTGTGTTATTTTAGGTTTAATAAACACTGTTAAACCTTTTCAGAACTATTTCAGTTTGTGTAGAACAGGACTATCAATGCTTTCTGAACATATGCAACACCGTTTAAAAAATACCGCGATAATACCGAAAACCGTGATAATTTTGGTCACAATAACCGTGAGGTTAAATTTTCATACCGTGACAACCCTATTGGAAATATTCATTGAAATGTTGTTGAAAATGAATTAAATGATACCCAATTGTTGAAAAGTGTCAGCGGCATGAACATGTAAGCGAGTTAGTACCTGCTAGCCATGAAAGCTGCGACTGCTAGGCAACTAACCAACCATAGATAACTGCTTTTGATCTAAAAATAGCATTTTAGATATCAGCCCGATAGCTACAATTAGGCCTAGTCCACACATAGCCGGGGGTTTTAAAAACGAATATCCGCCCCTCCAAAAACTTGCATCCACACCACCTCGTTTTAAAAAAAACTCTGTCCACACGTACCCGGATAAATACGTTGTTAAGGACATGCCAGACCTGTAGGCAGCAGTACTTCCCCCGTTCTTAACCTCGTCCTTCGTCTGTGGTCTTCCGCAAGGAGCGGTAATTCCGCTTGCAAAAACAAACAAGCAAAAAGCGCTTGGACAATTGATAAAGCGAGCACAGCTCTGAGGGCATCCATGCTGTCGGCTAGTGTAAACACAGGTCGCACACGTGATGTCAGCATTTTTTTGTCACGGAAAGTGACGTTGCGGACCTTAAAACTCCGGTTTTGTCTGTCCACACGCAGACACCCAAAACGGAGAAAACGCAGATTTTCACTTTAGCCGGAGTTTTTCAAAAGATCCGTTTTCGTGTGAAAAAACTCTGTTTTTGTGTGGATGACAGGCCAAAACGTAGAAAAATATCTACGTTTTACAATCCCCGGATACGTGTGGACAGGGCCTTAGTTGACTTACATTTAAACTGGTAATTTGCCCCTGAAGTAGCTGCTGGCTCCGGATCCATCCTTTCAAAAATACCGCTCTGTATTCTGGGAACTATTTGACTGAGAGAAGGTAACAAGACACCTCCCATGTATTCTTGGTCAGTTAGCTAAACAGCAGATAAACTGAGGCAGACACCCTGGTGGTATATGAACACCCCTTGGCGACCTCTGATGACGTATCTCCTAGGCAACCGGGGCGGGACCAAGGCATCAAGGCAAGGTTTATTGGCACTGAGAAACACCCTAAGTCTCTGGGTGACGCCATATTAGACACCATGTTTCCTTCTACCGGAGCCCGTGAGGATAAAATGCATTTACTGATTTGTAACAAACGGTTCCAAAACTTTCACCATTCATAAACGTTGTTATCACATTTATCGCTTCACTCATTGCCAGTGATGAAAGGCAGTCTGATGTGCTTGTCGTTTTGCTGGAGGTTGTGTTCCCAAGGATTTTTTACCCTAATGACCATCAAACTCAAACACAAAAATATGCATCGTCACTTTAAGCCATGACCTTCAATCTCCTCTAAGATCGTTCATAGATGAGTGTGAAGCACTAGATTCAGCTCCTCCAGACCCAAGACCATGGTTCTTGACCCTAAAACAGTGGAATGCCCCATTGGATATATGTTTTGCTGCAAATAAAGAAGTTGAAGAATGTTGGTGACTTGTTCCGGAGAAACAATTGGTTGATGCAAGAGTTGGACTGGAGGATCGAGGGTGTTGCTTCAGTCTCCTCGGTAAAGATGGAGCTGAAAGGCAAAGCTCCTAATTTACTGGTTCATCTATGTTCCACTCCTCACCCATGGTTATGGGATTAGGAGGATCATGGTTGTGAGAACAAGATCCTAGAATACGAGCAGATCTCTGGCCTGGCTCAGAGGTTTAGTTGGAGCCTCTGCTCCTCCTCAGTTTGCTAAGATGTTGTGTGCATCCCATTTGGATGGATGGGATCATTTGAAGTTTTACAATTGGTACTAATCAAAAATATTCAAACTCTTACATTTAGTGACAAATTCTCAAAGGCAGCAGATGAAGTACAACTGGATCATTCAGTAACTCTTATTGCAAAAGGAAACAACAATAAGCATAAGTTATTTAATGAGTCAGTAGAACAAAAAAATCATAGTTCCAAAATAAATAAAACCATCTAACCCCATTATTATTTATGTTCTAACATGTTATGTTAGTTATTTCATCTTTTTTAATTACTGGGACAATTTTGCCCCTTGTCTTGCAAATTCTCCTCACAGCACGGAGCCGCTCCACGGCCATAACTAAACAAATATTGTTCTGATTTCATGAGGGGTGAATCTGAATGCCTTCGACATGACATCAGCGTCTCTCGCATTTGCACACTGGCCCATTGTGATGGTTTGGATTGCAGACTGGGGTGGGGGCATGACCCAGGAGCATGGAATAAAAACGATGCAAGGTGAAGGTAAAGACCATGAAGCTCTTGCATTAAAATCTGTGAAATGAGGGCTGACACCGAGAAATGAACTGAACAGTAATAAATCCTGCCCTGGCGGCACAAGCAGAACGGTTTTCCCTGACAGAGAAAGTCTTGTGGCTATTGGTTATTGCTTTTGAATGATTAACAAGCTGCTTGGCTTTAAACAGAGGCATGTGTGCGTGGCGAGGTCGGCGGTGGTGTTAAAAACGAGACTAAATGGTCTGGAGCCTGTCACATGGACACATTCCAGCATTAGCTGCCATGGCTGTGAACATGGCCCCCACAGAACTGGCTGGCTGTCAGCACAGGCCACGCTGTCCTACAACCACAAGGCCTCCTGGAATAATAGAAGCTCTTGTTAAT